GCCCCTGTCTGTGGCCGGGCCCCTGTCCGTGTTAGGCCCCCTGTCCGTGGCCGGGCCCCTGTCCGTGGCCAGGCCCCTGTCCATGGCAGACCCCCTGTCCGTGGCAGGCCCCTGTCCGTGGCCGGCCCCCTGTCTGTGGCAGGCCCCGTCCGTGGCACGCTGGCTGATCAAGAACCCGCTCTTCCCCGCGGCCCGAGAACACGGGGACTGTCGGAGGCTGTGCCGGCTCTTCGGGCGTCGGTGTGTGTTCCCCGCTCACCCTCTGGGAATGCCGTTCACCTCAGGACGCCCCCCCGCCCCCCCAGGAACTTCCCGTTCCAGCTCCGACCTAACGTGCCACCTTCCTAAGACATTGGAGCTCGGTGGTTTTCACTTTTAAAAATCACGGCGTGAGCCATCGGGACCGAGGAACGCATCGGGGGGCCACCGGGCGCCAGCGGGCCTCGGCGGGGGAGCCGGGCCCGTAGCCACCGGACAGGCGGCCTGTGCTCCCGCCCCGGGAGGCGTGTCTGGACTTAGAAGCCGGTCGGCCTCCACACCCGGGAGCGCGGCTGCGTCTTCCCCTTTAAAAGGCAACTGGGTCAGCGCGGGGCTGCCAGCCGGTGATGCGGAATGCCCAAATATAGGGCTGTCTCCCTTAAAAATACCACGGCCTGGATTCTCAGCGCCAGGAAGAGTGTTTCCTGTTAGGCCCAGGGACTGACCCAAAACGGTCCCGTTAGCAATGCCGTCGATACCCAGAGCACTGACAGCAGAACCTGATTTAAAACTTTTTTTTAAATATATTTTATTGAGGTGTTTGGTTTTTTTACAGAGAGGAAGAGAGAGGGATAGAAAGCTGGAAACATCAATGAGAGAGAAACATCTATCAGCTGCCTCTTGCACACCCCCTACTGGGGATGTGCCCACAACCAAGGTACATGCTCTTGACCGGAATCGAACCTGGGACCTTTCAGTCCGTAGGCTGACGCTCTATCCACTGAGCCACACCGGTCTCGGCTGATTTAAAACTTTTCATTTGGCCCAGCCGGCAGGGCTCAGGGTCGAGCATCAGCTTATGAACCAGGAGGCAATGACTGGGCTCCGGGTCAGGGCACAGCCTGGGTGGTCGGATCCATCTCCAGTGGGGGGCGTGCAGGAGGCAGCCGATCCGTGATTCTGTCTCGTCATGGATGTTTCTCTCTCTCTCCCTTCCTCTCTGAGATCAATAAGAACATATTTTAAAAAATAAAATGACCACTGGTTAGGCTCCTAAATGTGCACACAAGTCCTTTGGTGGATCTCTCCCTTTTATCCCCCCCCTCCCTCTGAGGCCCAACAGTCTGGCCCAGGGCTCCTTCTCTCCGGGTCTGCTCTTGCTCATCAGCCTATGGTGTTCAGCATTTCCCCCAGGTGAGTGAGGTCATGTCCTCCTGGAAATATAAGAATAAAAAATGAGACAAGCAATAACCGTTATGCTGAAAGGCATATGGATCAGTCTGCAGTGAGCTTCTTTCTCAGCCAACAGTCCTTTTGAGACCCAATTTCAATGTCAAACAGTTCCTTATGTGTACGTGTCAGCCATGGTATTTCAGTTCTGGGTGGTGGGCAAATGGTGGTGATGGAGGTCCAACCCTCTCTGGCTTGGGCATGAGTGGAGAGGGGTGGGGGATTGGAATGGGGGATTGAGGCCATTGGGATACCTTAATCAGTAAAGAAATTTTAAAAAAATAATAAAATAAAAGTAAAATGAAATGTTTATTTGCACGGGGCTCTCACCAGCAGGGACTCACTGTGCCTGTCGCTCATTTCCGGGTTCGGCTCTCAGCTCCCTCGGCGCCCAGCGCCCAGCGCCCAGCAGCGTCTGCTGAGCTAGTGAACCAGAGTGCGCACGCGCTCGTGAGCACACCTACTGTGCGCGTTAGAGGAGCCAGAGTGTTTACAAACCTGTGTCTCTTCGTTTTTGTTAGTTTGTTTGTTTTTTAAAGCAAAGAAGTCTAGCCCCGTGGTTGGCAAACTGCGGCTCGCGAGCCACATGCGGCTCTCTGGCCCTTTGAAGGTGGCTCTTCCACAAAACACCACGGCCTGGGCGAGTCTGTTGGAAGAAGTGGCGTTGGAAGTTTAAAAATGTGGCTCTCCAAAGAGATTTCGGTCGTTGGGCTGTTGGTATTTGGCTCTGTGGACGGATGAGTTTGCCGACCACTGGCCTAGCCAATGGGCGTCTGAGACTCTCCGGAGGGTCTTGTTCCCAGGGAGGCGGTTAAGGGCAGCAGCACTGGGCTGGACACCTGGACGGGGAGTTTTTATGGCCGCGTCCAAGCAGCCAGCCCGTCCCGTTTACTGTCTGCTCAGAGGCAGTGTCAGTCGTTAACATCTGGGGCCGCAGTTAGAGGAGGAGCTACAGGGCAGGTGGGGAGGAAAGGCCGGGACAGGGGTCACTTCCTAGCCTGGCCCCTGCCTTCTGCCCCGGGGGCCGGCCAGGGGAGGCCAGTGGGTGGACGGAGGCAGATGGTCTGGTCCCTGGGGAACGCCGGAGCCCGCGGCCTCGGGGCGAGTAACCTTAGCCGAGCCCAGCGGCGGCCAGCGGGGCTGTCAGGACATCCATCATCAGGTCATTACGGGCCGGATCCAGCTTCCGCTCGGAGAGGTGATAATGCCTCGCCGGGCGCCCAGGTTTCCTGTTTCGCCCGGAGGCCTCTGCGGGCTCCAGGGCCGGGGCCGGCGAGCAGGGGCAAGGGGCCGGGAGGGACAGATGGCGACGGCCCCGGGCGTGTGCCATCGGGATGCCAGCCCCGTCTGTGTCTCCCGGAGACTCCCGTGTGCACTCCCCTGCGGGAGACGAGGGGACGTGCCGGCCGCATGTGCAGGTTGATCTCTGTCTCCATCCACCCTCCGCGGACCGATGGCCGGGGAGGCCTGATGGGGAGGGACAGAGCAGCGTGCCCAGCGCGTGTCCGCTCCCCAGGCGATTGCGTTTCCACGGAGGCCGGTCCCGGACTCCGAGGCCGGTCCAGTCTGTGCCCTGAGCCAGGCAGAGCCTTCTCCCTGCCAGGGCCATGGAGGGTTACCCCGGTCCCCGTGGGCCTCACCACCATCAGCTTAACGAGCAGCCTGCTCTGTGGTCTGACATCCCCCCCCCCCCCTCCCCGTGCCCTGGCGGGCCAGACCGAAGGCCTCCGGGCCTTACAGGGCCCGAGGGCCAGGCTTCCCTACCCGGCTCAAGGGTGGCCAGCTGTCAGCACAGAATTCATCACAGCATTCTGCTCCAGACAGCCCGTCCAGCACAGTGCTGTGTGTGTGTATACACGTGTGTGCACATGTGTACGTGCACGTGTGTACAGTGCATTACAGGTGTATATGTGGTGTGTGCGTGCATGTGTGTGAGTACACTTGTGTACACGTGTGTACGTGTGTGCGCACGTGTGTGCACGTGTGTGCGTGCACGCGCGTGTGTGTGTGTGCACGCGCACACACACGTGTACTTTAAATCAGGTTGGAACCGCGGGAAAGTCGGGATGGTGTGAAATCCCTTTGCTGCCTGATCGTATGATATGAATTGCATGGAATGGTGCAGGTGCGCCTGCTCCCATTGACCAGCCTTTCTGGAGATCTCCCAGGGAACCTGCTTCTTCCCGGCGAAGGCGGTGATAGTCCAGCCTGACTGAGAGCCCTGACAGGAGGCAGGGCGCGCTCTGCACAAATGAAGTCATTAAAGCGCACAGCCTGCGCGGCGGGCGGGCAGGGCCGGGGGCTGCGGGCGGCGTTAGGGGCCGCGCTCATTAGCTGCTGCCCCTGCCCGGCCGCGGCCGGGCCCGCTGGCTGCGGGGGGAGGTGAGGGGCAGGTGTGAGGCGGCCACAGAGGCCAGGCTCCGGCCGCCGCAGACCGAGTGTGAAAGTCACCGCCCGGAGCCGGAGCGGCGAGGCCGTGGGGAAGAGGAGCGGAGAACTCGGGGCTGTCACGGCGGAGCCCTGCAGAGGATGGTGACCCGGGAGGGAACAGGGAGGTCTCTCTGGCTTTCGCACGGCGCGTTTCACACACGCTTCAGCGGGCGTCTGAATTGGAGGCGTTTTCTCTGCCATTATTTCTGGTTCGTTTTCTTCTTAAGTGGACCTCAGGGGAAAGTGAATAATGTGGGTGCAGCTGTTCAGCCCCAGATCAAAGTCAGAGCTGCTGAGCTCTCCCCCCTCCCACCCGTCCCGCTCAGCGCCCCCCACAGGCCACGCCCTGCACCCTGTCCTGGTCGAACACCCCCGTGGGCCACGCTGGGAGGATGGAGGGCTTCGCTGTCTCACAGAGCACCTTTCCGCCCGGCCGGCCTGGCTCAGTGCTGAGCGCTGACCTGTGAACCGGGAGATCAGGGTCCGATTCCCAGTCAGGGCACAGGCCCGGGTTGCGGGCTCCATCCCCAGTGGGGGGCGTGCAGGAGGTTGCCGATCCGTGATTCCCTCTCATCACGGATGTGTCTATCGCTCTCTCCCTCTCCCTTCCTCTCTGAAATCCATAAAAACACATTTGAAATAATAATAATAAAATAACATAAAAGATAAAATGGAAGGAAACACCTTGAGGGACCGGGAAGCCAGCACTCACTCCAGGGACAGGGAGCTCAGGGCGATTGCCAAGCGAGGGGCAGAGCACCCAGGTCTCACGCCCGCGGGGGGTGTGGTGTTGAGTGCCGTTAGCTCTCCTGGTGGAGTGAGTCCTGCCTCCCCCGTGCCAGCCGCCAGCCGCCAAGTGGGGGGGCTCGGGCGCAGAACGGGCCGGAGCCCAGGACGACCGGAGGCAGCACGAGCCCAGCTCCCTGGTCCGAGCTGGCGCCGTCCCCCGTGACGGCTCGCTTTGCTCGCAGCTGCTCTCGCGGCCGCGAGCGCCCGCAGGGAGAGGGGGCCGGGCTGATGACAGCTGCCACAGCGGCTGCCGATCAGGCCTGCTCCTCTCTCGGCCTGTCACGGGCGTGTTCCCCTCCACGTGCGCTCCCCCTGGCGTAGAGCGCCCGTCTGACTTGCTTCTCTCTCCCTAGGACAGCCGGCCCAATATGTCCAGGCCCCTGATGACCAGATCCCCCGCGTCTCCGCTCACCAACCAAGGCATCCCGACGCCCGCCCAGCTCACCAAGTCCAATGCGCCCGTGCACATCGACGTGGGCGGCCACATGTACACCAGCAGCCTGGCCACGCTCACCAAGTACCCCGAGTCCAGGTAACGCGCCGGCGCACGCCGTGGCCTGACCGCGCACGCCTGCGTTGTGGGCTGCATCCCCAGTGGGGGGCGTGCGGGAGCCAGCCGATCCATGACTCTCTCTCTCTCATCACCGGTGTTTCTGTCACTCCCCTCCTTTCCTCTCTGAAGTCAGTAAAATACACGTCTGTTTTTAAAATCCCTACCGCAGACCCAGGGACGTGGGTTCGGGCTGGCCTGCGGGAAGGGGCCGGGACGCTGCGTCGGGGAAGGACACCGTTCCCGGCCACGGCGCCGTCGCTGCTGCCTCGCTGGCCCCGTGTGGCTCGCCTTCGCCTCCCTCGTTGGCCGAGCTCGCTCTGCCTCTTGTGCAACCTCCCCCCCCCCTCCCCTAACCTCCCTGCCCTCCCGCCTCAGGAGGGAGCGAGGAGCCTGCGGGCCACCCCCAGCTCGGGCACACAGCGCGGGCACACAGCGCGGGCACACAGCGCTTCCGGGCACACAGCGCTTCCGGGCACACAGTGCGGGCACACAGCGCGGGCACAGAGGGCAGGCACACAGCACGGGCACACAGTGCGGGCACACAGCGCTGCCAGGCGGTGAGCTGGGCGCGCCCAGGCCTGCCCCCTGCTCCGTCCCACCCGCTCTCGGGCGTGGCCGCCCCCCCAGACTGCGCTTTTGTCTGAATGGGAAGACACGTGCTAAGCAGCTGCAGAGAACGTATGTAAACGGAGTGAAGGTCTACACGCAGAGCCAGCCAGGGTCTTCACGGGACACGCCTGAGCTCAGGAGCTCTGTCTGACCCGGGAGAACCGGCTGTGGGTCCGGGACTGGGAACGGAATCTAAGCCGCCGCTTAGCGGGCGAGGGCCCCGCGCTCCCCTGAGACCCGAAGCCCCTCGTCCTGAAGCGGCCCGAGGAGAGGGGTCCGTCCGGGGCCCTGAGCCGCCTCCTGGGCGGGGAGGACTCGGCCCAGCACCCGAGCCCGCGGGGGTGGGGGGGGGGGGGAAGGGGGGTGCTGGGCACACTGGCACGGCTGGAGTCAGGTGGGAGCAGCCGTGTTACACACGAACAAAACTTCTTCTCCGAGTAAGCGCTGTCCATTCGGAAGCAGGCGGTGCCCACAGGGTTTGCTCTTCCGAGCCGTCCTGTGCGGCTGGAGGAAGCATCTTTGATTGTTTGTTTGTTGTTTCGTTTTTTTTGTGGTATTTTTTTTTTAAATACACTTTTATTGATTTCAGAGAGAGAGGAAGAGAGAGGGAGGGAGAGAGAGAAACATTCATGATGCATCATCCATCGGCTGCCTCCTGCACGCCCTACATGACACGGGGATTGAGCCTGCAACCCTGGCCTGTGCCCTCGACCGGAATCGAACCCGGGACCTCCTGGCTCCTAAGCTGATGCTCAGCCCCCAGCACACGGGCCGCCGGGGCAGCCCTGTGCCCCTTTGTGTGACCTCTGACCTCAGCGGAGCTGGCCTGGCTTCGGGGCGCACACGGGCGCCCAGAGGCAGTGGGCGGGACGAAGGGCATCTGTCACGTGCGTCTCTGGCCACCTGGCGGAGGGGAGGGGGATCCTTGTCGGCTGAGGCTGAGGAGTTTCACAAATGCCTTGCAGGTTGGGGCTTGGTTCTGAGCTTTGTTGAGAGGGACAGGGACATAGCAATAGGCCCACCGACCGCCCAGGGGCCTTGGGGGGACGGGGGCGGCGGGGGCAATTCCTGAGCCTGGTCCCCACCTGGCACCCCGGCCCTGCTGTCCGCCCTCCTTACTGCCCAGCCGCTCACCGGGGGGGTCACCGGGAGGAGGGCTCACCGGGAGAGGGCTCACCGGGGGAGGGTCACCGGGGGAGGGCTCGCCGGGAGAGGGCTCCCGGGGGGGGGGGCTCGCTGGGGGAGGGCGTCCGGGGGGAGGGTCGCCGGGGGGAGGGTCACCGTGGGGAGGGTCGCCGGGGGGAGGGTCACCGTGGGGAGGGCTCCCGGGGGGAGGAGGGCTCGCCGGGAGGGCGTCCGGGCTCACCAGCTGGCAGCCACTCACATCCAGGGAGTCGGTGGCTGTGAGTCACCCTGGGACGTGGGTTTGAGTCCTCCCTCAGCCTCGGACGCACGGCCGGGCCCTCACCGCGGAGAGGGAACAGCTAGACTTCCCCTCGGCCTCTGCCCCGGGACGTCGGGCCTCTCCTGGCTGCCTCAGTGGGCCCCTCCGTCCGGCAGCTCCCCCCAGGCGGGGCCGCGGTCCGAGGGAGACGCCCTGTGGCCTGGTCCGGAGGCGGGTTCGGGGGGAGGGGGGGGGGCCTGACGCTCTGCAGTGACGGCACCTGCTGCTGCTGCCAGACCCTGAGAGTGTGTGTGTGGGGGGTGATGTGTGTGTGGTGTGTGTGTGCGCGCGCGTGTGTATGTGGTGTGTGTGTTTGGGGGGTGTGGTGTGTGTATACGTCTGTGTGGTCTGTATGTGTGTACACGTGTGTGGTGTGTGTACATGTGTGTGTTGGGTGTCTGGTATGTGTGGGGGGTGCTGGGTGTGTGTGGTGTTTGTGTGTGTGTGGTGTGAGGTGTATGGTGTGTGTGGGGGTGCTGGGTGTGTGTGGTGTTTGTGTGGTGTGAGGTGTATGTGAGGAAGGGGGTACCACTGGGAGACAGGGTAATTCACTTGTTTTCTTTACAAACTTCTATTAGATTTTGAAAAGCATTTCCCTAGACTCGAGGTGAATTGTTTTCCTTGTTCTGTCTCCATTTAAATCCTAGCCGAGGGCATGTTTTACCCCTGCGAGAGCGGGAGGGAGAGACAGCGGTGGGAGACGGATCGGTGGCCTCCGTACCCGCCCCGGCCAGAATGGGGCCCACAGTGTGTGTGTGTGTGGGGGGGAGACAGGGGTCTGTAGCCTCTGTACCCACCCTGACCAGATGGAGCTGCGGCCTGAGGTGTGAGGATGACGCCCAGTGGTTTGTGTTCGCTCAGAGGTGTTCTCTCCTCTGACACTGCTCCTACCGGTTCTGTAACAAGCCCTGGATTAATTTCTCTGTGTCCATAAAACATCGATGAGGCTTCCCAAGAGTGAAACTATGAAGAATTATTCCTAGGCTTTTTAGAATGTTATAACACGTTAAGCAAATTAAATGCTGTTTATGATCGTTCAGGCTTTTAAGACAGTGAGGAGACTGGTGGTTCCTTGTTATTTTCTTACATTAAAATAATGCGAAGCCCTGGCCACGGCTCAGCTGGTTGGCAGGTTCAGTTCCCAGTCAGGGCACACCCCTGGGCTGTGGGTTCAATCCCAGTGCAGGCACCTAGGGGAGGCAACCAATCAGTATTTCTCTCTCTTCCCCTCTCTCTCTCTCTCTCTCTCTCTCTATCTCTCTCTCTCTCACACACACACACAAATCATTAAAAGCAAATCCTTGGTGAGGACTTTTTTTTTTTTTTAATATGGAACTATGATCACTTAAAAGTATATGCAAATATAGCCCTAACCAGTTTGCTCAGTGGTTAGCGCATCAGCCCACAGATGGAAGGATCTCGGGTTCAAGTCCAGTCAAGGGTGCTTCGCTCGGTAGCAGGGTCGATCCCCGGGCCCTGGTCGGTGTTCCTGGGTCTTCCCCTCCCTTCCACTGTCTCTAGAAGGATGGAAACAGTAGCATCCCCAGGTGAGGAGTAACCATATCCACGTGCGTAAGCCAGTCATTGTCTTAATAACAGAGCTGTGGACGGGGAGTCCCGACGGCTGGTCGACCTTCACTGCTCGGAAGGGTCAGAGCTAATCACTAAGTATTGGTAGCTGAAGCAGCCCCCACCGGTCAGTCCTAAATTCACCGATTGGCTTTGATTGGAGTCTCCTGCCCAGGGCATACAGGTGGATCTTATTATTTTAATTTTAACAAAAGGGATGGAAAAGCCAGAGTCCTCCCCTGGGGGTGGGCTCCCGCCGGGCCCCATTCCCCAAATTAAATATTTTCAGGGCTCTTTTCATTTCTGTGTGGCCTTCTCCAGAACCCGAACCCGAACCGGAACCCTGAACCACGCGGGGCGCGAAAAGGGCTTCCACATGCATGTCCACACATGCGCGCGCACACACACAGCCAGAGCATACGCATTGAGCCCCACGTTCCCAAAAGCTTCATGTGTGAACTTAGCGTTTCCCTTCCCACCACCCACTCCCACTCCTTCCTCTCCACCTCGGCCGGAAGGAGGGAGGTCCCCGTGGCCACAGCGCTGTCCCCTCCACCAGCTCTGCCCTCCCTGCGGCTCTGATCCAGCTCTCCTCACGCCTCGCTCACACTCGCACACACACGTACACACGACGGTGCATGCACACATATGACCACACGTGCGCACACGCACATGGCAGTGCGTGCACACATGCTACCACACGCATGCACATACACAGCAGTACATGCACACATGCGACCATACACAGTTGCACATACGTACACATGGCAGTGCATGCACATGTGACCATACACACATGCACACACGCACACATGGCAGTGCATGCGCACATGCGACCATACACACACGGCAGTACATGCACACGTGCGACCATACACGCACACGGCAGTGCATGCACACATGTGACCACATGCATGCACACGCACACACGGCAGTGCATGCACACGTGCGACCATACATGCACACACGCACACGGCAGTGCATGCACACGTTCGACCATACACACACACACGTACACGCGCACACACCCGTTCCCCTGCCCGTGCAGGTTCAGTCGTTAGGAGAGACGTGACTGGAAGCTCCTGGACCCCTGACCCGAGTCCCCGCCGTCAGCAGAGCAGCCACAGGCCCCCCTCACCGACCCCCCGCCGCCGCCGCCGCCGCCTGTCCCCATCTTCCCGTGGAGGCCCCTGCGCCCCTTCCCGCCGCCCCGCCCCGCGGTCGGACAGCCGCCGCTCTGCTCTGTTCCTCCCGCTGCGGCTCTCGGTTCCCGCCTCTGAGGGGCCACGGGACACCTTCCTCCTGCGGGCATGTGTGCCGTCCCCGCAGCTCCCCTGTCCCCACGTCCCCGCGGAGGGTGCACTTCCTGTCTCCCCCCTGGAGCGGTGCACTTCCTGTGTGTCCCCACCTCCACGCGGAGGGTGCACTTCCTGTGTCTCCCCCCTGGAGCGGTGCACTTCCTGTGTGTCCCCCCGCGGAGGGTGCACTTCCTGTGTGTCCCCCCCTGGAGCAGTGCACTTCCTGTGTCCCCATGGAGCAGTGCACTTCCTGTGTGTGTGTGTCACCGGAGCGGTGCACTTCCTGTGTGTCCCCCCCCCTGGAGCGGTGCACTTCCTGTGTGTGTCCCCCCCTGGAGCAGTGCACTTCCTGTGTGTCCCCCCCCTGGAGCGGTGCACTTCCTGTGTGTCCCCCCCCTGGAGCAGTGCACTTCCTGTGTGTCCCCCCCCTGGAGCGGTGCACTTCCTGTGTGTCCCCCCCCTGGAGCAGTGCACTTCCTGTGTGTCCCCCCCCCTGGAGCGGTGCACTTCCTGTGTGTCCCCCCCCTGGAGCGGTGCACTTCCTGTGTGCCCCGTGGAGCGGTGCACTTCCTGTGTGCCCCGTGGAGCGGTGCACTTCCTGTGTCCCCGTGGAGGGGTGCACTTCCTGTGTCCCCCGTGGAGCGGTGCACTTCCTGTGTCTCCCCCATGGAGCGGTGCACTTCCTGTGTCCCCCGTGGAGCGGTGCACTTCCTGTGTCTCCCCCGTGGAGGGGTGCACTTCCTTTGTGTCCCCCGTGGAGGGGTGCACTTTCTGTGTCACCGTGGAGGGGTGCACTTCCTGTGTGTCCGTCCGTGTGTGTGTCCCCCCCCCCCCCCCCCCGCCGTGGAGCAGTGCACTTCCTGTGTCCTCGTGGAGGGGTGCACTTCCTGTGTCTCCCCCGTGGAGCGATGCACTTCCTGTGCCCCCCCCACCCCGTGGAGCGGTGCACTTCCTGTGTCCCCCGTGGAGCGGTGCACTTCCTGTGTCCCCCCCTGGAGCAGTGCACTTCCTGTGTGTCCCCATGGAGCGGTGCACTTCCTGTGTGTCCCCCCCCCCTGGAGCAGTGCACTTCCTGTGTGTCCCCCCCTGGAGCGGTGCACTTCCTGTGTGTCCCCCCCCTGGAGCGGTGCACTTCCTGTGTCCCCGTGGAGGGGTGCACTTCCTGTGTCCCCCGTGGAGCGGTGCACTTCCTGTCTCCCCCGTGGAGGGGTGCACTTCCTGTGTGTCCGTCCGTGTGTCCCCCCCCCCCCCCCCCCGCCGTGGAGCGGTGCACTTCCTGTGTCCTCGTGGAGGGGTGCACTTCCTGTGTCTCCCCCGTGGAGCGATGCACTTCCTGTGCCCCCCCCCCCCGTGGAGCGGTGCACTTCCTGTGTCCCCGTGGAGGGGTGCACTTCCTGTGTCTCCCCCGTGGAGCGATGCACTTCCTGTGCCCCCCCCACACCCCCCCCCCCCCCGTGGAGCGGTGCACTTCCTGTGTCTCCCCAGTGGAGCGGTGCACTTCCTGTGTCTCCCCGGTGGAGCGGTGCACTTCCTGTGTCCCCGTGGAGGGGTGCACTTCCTGTGTCTCCCCCATGGAGCAGTGCACTTCCTGTGTCCCCCGTGGAGCTCCCCACGCCCGGGGACACTTGGCCCCGGCGCTCAGTCTGAATCCCACCCCATAGACGTAAATGCCACTCACTCCCACTGCGTCCGGCTCTCACCCACGGCCGGGCTCCGTGAGCGGCGGCGCCCAGAGCGATCAGTAACCCAGTGACCAGTAACCCAGTGATCAATAACTCAGTGACCAGTAACCCAGTGATCAGTAACCCAGTGATCAGTAACCCAGCGATCAGTAACCCAGCGATCAGTAACCCAGCGACCAGTAACCCAGCGACCAGTAACCCAGCGACCAGTAACCCAGCGATCAGTAACCCAGCGACCAGTAACCCAGCGACCAGTAACCCAGCGACCAGTAACCCAGCGATCAGTAACCCAGCGATCAGTAACCCAGCGACCAGTAACCCAGCGATCAGTAACCCAGCGACCAGTAACCCAGCGACCAGTAACCCAGCGACCAGTAACCCAGCGACCAGTAACCCAGCGACCAGTAACCCAGCGATCAGTAACCCAGCGACCAGTAACCCAGCGACCAGTAACCCAGCGACCAGTAACCCAGCGACCAGTAACCCAGCGACCAGTAACCCAGCGATCAGTAACCCAGCGACCAGTAACCCAGCGACCAGTAACCCAGCGATCAGTAACCCAGCGATCAGTAACCCAGCGATCAGTAACCCAGCGACCAGTAACCCAGCGACCAGTAACCCAGCGATCAGTAACCCAGCGATCACTAACCCAGCGATCAGTAACCCAGCGATCAGTAACCCAGCGATCAGTAACCCAGCGATCAGTAACCCAGCGATCAATAACCCAGTGACCGCAGGATAAACAAGACAGAGAACCTCGGGGGCCGAGCCACAGGCAGTGAGCAGCCAGGGCCTGTGGAGGGGTGCACATCCAGGACACGGAGCCGGTCACGGCCCTGCCCTTCCCTCTGCATCTCAGCCAACTCGGCCGTCCTGAGGACCCGAGAGCAGGGCCATCGGGCGCCAACTTGCCCCACCCGAGGGGCCTGAGTTCCTCCAGGTCGCGTTGCCATTGTTTGCTCCGTAAACAAGAGTAATCAGCCCTCGCTGGTGTGGCTGCGGACTGAAGGGTCCGGGTTCGATTCCGGTCAAGGGCATGTGCCGTGGTGGCGGGCACATCCCCCGTGGGGGGCGTGCAGGAGGCGGCTGGTCAGTGTTTCTCTCACCGATGTTTCTGACTCCCTATCCCTCTCCCTGCCTCTCTGTGGAGAATAAATGGAGCCCCTTGCCTGCCCACACGGTTAACAACACGCAGAAAGCACCGTTCCGAAGGGACGTCAGCGTGTCGTCTGCGTTTGAATGCGGGACGTGTGTGTGTGTGTGTGTGTGTGTGTGTGTCTGTCACGGGCCAGTCCCTGGCTCCCCACAGCGTAGACCTGGCCACTTCCCGGTCACTAACTGCACAGGCCTCTCTAGGGTCAGTGTCCCTGAGGGGTTAAGTGGGAGTGAATGCAGATCGCTGCGACTGTAGCACTGACCCAGTGTTCACTCTGTCAGCGGGAAAACTGAGTCTTTAAAAATCACCACCCAGCTGAAGCCGGTTTGGCTCAGTGGATAGAACATCGGTCTGTGGACTGAAAGGTCCCGGGTTCGATTCTGGTCAGGGGCATGTACCTTGGTTGCGGGCACATCCCCCGTGGGGCGTGTGCAGGAGGCAGCTGGTCGATGGTTCTCTCTCATCGATGTTTCTAACTCTCTGTCCCTCTCCCTTCCTCTCTGTAAAAAATCAATAAAATATATTTTTTAAAAACATCACCACCCAGAGCCACGGATGTTTAAGGACTGGGTCGTGTTTTTGGGGTGGTCTGATGTATTTTTGGGTCACAGTTTTTGGGTGGTCAACTATGTATTCTTTACAGGATTTTTGCTGAGACCTGAGAAATGAGACTCAGTGCTGCTAATGGAAAACATATTCTGGAGGAGCGATGTTTTCAGTTGTGTTTTTTTATAATTAAATGGAGATGTTAACAGAGGCATTGTGAGACTCATGGGTGGAGAAAGCTCCGAAGAGAGATTTTATTTAAAAGACCATTTGGAACACTAGCATTTTTTAAATATTATTGACTAGAGGCCTGGTGCACAGATTTGTGCACCAGTGGGGTCCATCAGCCTGGCCTGCAGGGATCGGGCCGAAACCCAGCTCTCTGACATCCCCCAGGGGTCCCAGATTGCGAGAGGGTGGTTTTTGGTGACGACCCCAGAATCAGGCTCCCTTCTTCTGGTTCCAGGTGCGTCACCCGAGAGCCACAGCTGCCAATGACAGCGGCTCCTGCCCTGAGCATCTGCCCCCTGGTGGTCAGTGCACATCATAGCTACTGGTGGGACAGTCGCTTAGGCTTTTATAGAGAGAGATTTCAGGGAGGAAGGAGGAGGGAAAGAGAGGTTGAAACATCCATTTTGAGAGAGAATCTTGGATCAGTGGCCTCCTGCACGCCCCCTAATGGGCATGGAGCCCGCAAGCCAGGCCTGTGCCCCAACTGGGAGTCAAACCCTGACCTCCTGGTCCTAGGTCGACGCTCAGGCCTGAGCCACGCGGGCCAGCAGCACTGGCGTTTTTAAGCGGCAGAGGAGTTGGGTCAGGACCACGGAGGACGCAGGGCAGCACGGCCACAGCCTCACGTAGGAACGTGCTCTTACAGGGAAAAGCCGGAGGGAGAGCACGGGCTGGCGGAAGCCTGAGATTGTGCACACCCGTCCTGAGGGTCCTCGGCAGGGACGGCTCCCCATGGCGCCGTGGCCGCGCCCGGGGTCCTGGTTCGGCCCGCCGCTGCCCTCCGGCTGCCGCCCGGACAGACACGGGTTCTAACCGCCGTCCTGTGCCCTCTCCTCTCACAGGATCGGAAGACTCTTCGACGGGACCGAGCCCATCGTGCTGGACAGCCTCAAGCAGCACTACTTCATCGACAGAGACGGGCAGATGTTCAGATATATCCTGAATTTTCTACGAACGTCCAAGCTCCTCCTCCCCGACGATTTCAAGGTGAGGATTCGTGTTAAGTTACGCGGCACACACACAGTTCCTTCTCACCCCCGCCCCGCGTCTCTCCACGCGCGCCAGCTCCGAGGGCTCGGGGCCGGCCTCACCGTCCCTTCCCGGGGAAACAGGGCAGGTGGCCGCCAGGACTTACGTGAGCAAGAGGGCCGCTCGCTAGGTCAGAGCCCTCCCAGCTCACGTGAGCCCTCGGAACGTGTTGGCTAATCCCACACCTGACTTCCGGCGTCTTAATGAGGCAGAGGAGGGAGGAGAGCCTCCTTGGCTTCGTGCAGACTTTGTGAAGAGGAGAGTACAGAGCGATCCTCCTGCCTGCAGCCCACGGGGGGCCGCACCCTTTCCCGAGAGAGCAGATGGCGGGGCGCAGCCCATGGCGGGGCGCAGCCCATGGCGGGGCGCAGCCCATGGCGGGGCGCAGCCCAGGGCAGGGCAGGGGCAGCCCGAGCTCCAGGAGCCAGTGGACGCCATGAACGGGCCCAGTTTCATGTTTAAAGCCTCTGGGCGGAAAGGGGCTGGCGCTGACATGCAGAGGAAGGAGGGGCCTCGGACCCCCCAGCCCTGGGGTGCCCAGCTGGACGCGGGCTGCCCCCCACTCCTCCTCCAGCCCCTCCTCGGTGCTGTGGGCAGCGAGCGGTGCCGGGTCTCGGTCAGGCTCACTCCTCGGGGTTCTGGTTTGGTTGTTCATGGTCATGTGGTGTCTCTTCCCGTTCTAGCTGGTTCCTGCTGGTCTATAGGGAAGCACCTGATTGCAATATGTTGATCCTGATTTTAGATGGTTTAAGGAGTTCTTTATTAGTTCTACTTGTATTTAGTTGATTCTTTTTTAAAACGTATGTTTTACTGCTGGTGATATTACAGATCTCACACACTCCCAGCCCTTCCCAGTTCCTACCTCCCCCCGCCCCCCCCGCCCGGTCTCACCACCCTTTTGCCCGTGCCCGGGGGCTGTGGTATTAGTAGACACGCCCTTTGGTTTATCCCTTCTCGTCCCCGACAAGGCCCTTGTTGGGTCCTTAGAACATCCCGTTCAGAGAACCGTGAGCGGCTGCCTTTGAGGACACTCCCGGGGAACAGGCCCGTCTGGTCTAAGCCCACTGCCTGTGGCAGCCGCGTCCCGTGGGGCTCCCTGCACACCAGGTACTGACTCCACAGCCGGCAGTTCTGAAGTCCTGCTGCCCAGTGCAGCGCCTCCCAAGTCCCTGGGCTGGAGCCACAGGGCTTCATTCGTGTGAAGCGCTCAGAGGAGGGCCCGCCGGGTCCCTGACACTCAGCTCCGCTCTAGTCCCGGACGGACGGACGGACGGACATGTGAGTGCAGACGGACCCTGTGCAGGTGTGCGTGAGGTGACACGCTCCCCCCATCCCATGATCGAAGCAGTCGATGGAAAGCTCAGCTCCTGGGAAAGCCGCTTTCGGTCCCTGTCGTGTGTGTGCCGTGACGCGTGTGCGTGCAGTGTGACACGCACGTGCGCGCCCCGTGTCATGCGTGTGCTGTCTCCCGCAGGACTACACGCTGCTGTATGAAGAGGCCAAGTATTTCCAGCTGCAGCCCATGCTGCTGGAGATGGAGCGGTGGAAGCAGGACAGGGAGACGTGCCGCTTCTGCAGGCCCTGCGAGTGCCTCGTGGTGCGGGTGGCCCCCGACCTGGGGGAGCGGATCACGCTCAGCGGGGACAAGTCCCTCATCGAGGACGTGTTCCCCGAGATCGGCGACGTGATGTGCAACTCGGTCAGCGCGGGCTGGAACCACGACTCCTCGCACGTCATCCGCTTCCCGCTCAACGGCTACTGCCACCTCAGCTCCGTGCAGGTGCGTGCGCCCGGCGTGGACGCCGCCTGGTGCCCGCCCTTCCCGGCCTGGAGCGGGGCCGTCCTGTGGGTGGGTGACCCTTCCCCCTCCACACCCCACGGGCCTGTCCTGGGTCAGCCCTGAGCCAGGTGCGCCTGCAGAGAGGGGAGGAGGCGGGAGCCCGTCCGGGAAGGAGGCGGGGTCGGGCACGTGTGACCAGCACAGCGGGGGCCGCAGAGAGAGGAGGGGGTGTGGGATAACCCAGCCGCCCCAGCCCCTGCGCTCGGAGCGTGGCCAGGCCGCGGGGACTCGCACGGGAGGGGGGAGGGGGCAGCCCCTGCCGCTGACGCAGTGTGTGCGTGTGTGTGTGTGTGTGTGCGTGTGTGTGTGTGTGTGTCCCCGCAGGTGCTGGAGCGGCTGCAGCAGCGGGGCTTCGAGCTGGTGGGCTCCTGCGGGGGCGGCGTGGACTCCTCCCAGTTCAGCGAGTTCGTGCTTCGGCGGGAGCTGCGGCGGCCGGCCCGCGGGCCCTCCGTCCTCCGGATAAAGCAGGAGCCCCTGGACTGAGCGCCGCCGCGGCAGGAAGCGCCCCCACGCCCGCGGCCCGCACCCGGAGGGGCCCCGAGTGCGGCCGGGACGGCCCGCACCGAGCGGTGACTCAGAGACACGTTTCTATCCGTAGAGACCACGCCTGCATTCACACGGGAACAATTGGAATAGGTGATAGCCTCCAGGTGTAAAAGTATATAAATATATATATGTGTCCAAAGGTGGGCAACGTGAGGAAAAGGGAGGGGAGCTGCGGTCGGTGCCGTGACGGCAGGGGTCCGGCCCCCGGGTCTGACGGGGACCAGCCATGGCCGGGCCTCTCACCGCCGCCCCACAGCCGCCCGCCTGCGTTTCCCCCTCCGTCCTTCTTCCTCTGTTTTCTTTTTTTCCAACACAGCACCCCGGCCTCCGCTCCTGGCAGCCGGGGTCCTGGGGGCGGGCCGGCGGACGGAGGGTGCGCAGGGCCGGAGGGGGTGGGCCCGGAGGCCGTGTGCCGTGGGTGCAGAAGCCGCCCTGCTGCCGCTCCTTGGTCTCAGCCGATCCGTCCCGCAAAGGGCCCAGAATTAGTACTTGTTAGAGGCACACCGGTTGGAGTCTGCTGCTTTCCTACGGTTTTTCAAATTTTATAATGTATTAAATACAATAAACTCTGTTTAAAAAAGGCCTGTTGGGGTGAAGCCATATTAAAGTGACCTTTTCCTTTTCTAAATGTTCTGTGTTGAGCATCAGAAAGAGGCCCAGGCCAGCCGGCGTGGCTCAGTGTTGGACCTACGAACCAGGAGGTCAGGGTTCGATTCCCGGTCGGGGCACCTGCCTGGGTTGTGGACTCGATCCCCACAACCATGTGGGGGGCGTGCAGGAGGGAGCCGATCCATGATTCTCTCATCGTGGATGTGTGTCTGTCTCTCTCTCTCTCTCCCTTCCTCTCAGAAATCAATAAAACTGCATGTTTTTAAAAAGAGGCCTGAAAGGAGAGGCCGGAGGCCAAACCCCCTGACGGGGAGGATGCGGTCCCTGGTCCACACAGCGCGGCCCGGCCAGTGGTGGCCCCGCGTTGTTAGCCCACACGGGGCAGCAGGAGGGACCGCCTCCTTCCGAGATCTCCCAGGGCTCGCTCCCGGCTGCGCAGAGCAGAGCACCCAGCGCAGCGCTCCCGGCAGCAGCTCGCCCTGTGACTCTGCGTTCTCTCGTGGGGACCGGCCTTCCCCGGCGTCATCCGGGGGGGACGGGCCGGGATGTCACGGTGGCTCCCCCGGGGCTGCCATGGCTATTGGCCTGGGCCCGCACGGCACGGGAGCCGGCTCCAGGGGGCAGTGTCGCACACTCAGGGCCTCCAGGAGGGAGGCAGCAGAGGCCGGCGGCCAAGGTCTCCTGAGGGTGGGCCGGACCTGCCCCAGGCCCCTGCAGCGGCGCGGAGCCAGCCCAGGTTAGAGCCCAGATGGAGGGACGGAGAGAGCACCCCCTGCTGGGGGAGTGACGGACTTCTCAGCCACCTGGGACCTATCGGCAGCCTGTCCTGGGGACCCAGAGCAGGGTTCGGTGGCTCCGGAGGAGTAGGGGAATCTCGGGGCCAGATGATCGATCCCCCTCACTGGCCAGCGAGTAGGAAATGGGGTCCCAGGACCACTTGGAGACAAAGCCCTTGGCTGGGCGGTTAGCGATTCCAGGCTCCTCCGCAGCCCTGCCACCGCCCCCGCCTTCCAGACACAAAGTGGACGTGGCACGGCGGGAGGTGGACAGGTAGACGTGGCACGATGGGAGATGGACAGACATGGCATGATGGGAGATGGACAGACAGGTAGACGTGGCATGATGGGAGATGGACAGGTAGACGTGGCACGGTGGGAGATGGATAGGCAGGTGACACTGTTTATGCCGCAGACACGCTCTGGTGGTGACGGCTCTTTCCATCCTGAACTTCCTTTTTTAATGAAAAGTCTGAGCAGAGGACAGGAGTCGTGATAATGTTTCTGCTTCTGAAGTGAAAGGAAGCTGTGAGTGGCTCTTCTCACCCCAGGCACACAGATGCCCCAACACTCGGACCCTGGGATGCCTGCTGCCGGCTTCTGCCGCGGCCGTGAACTTAAGACCGCGCAGGGGCAGAGATGGTGTGGGGTGCGGCTGGATCACGGGGAAGAGTGAACATTCTAGAAAGGGGAGGTGGAATTGGACGGAGCGGGGGTCTTGAGCGCCGGGCTGGGGCGACTCCATGCAGGAGCTGGAGAGTCTCGGAGGGCGGGCCAGTGGGCGTTCTGGGCCCCGCAGAGCTGACGGGCGGGAGCAGCCTGGCGGGTGGTGGCAGCGAGCTGGCTGCTCCCCAGGCCACCCATCATGACCGCCCTGGCTGGAGCTGACAGCCGAAGACATCGCTGGGGGCAGGGTGACCAGCTCAGGTCCTCTGAGGCCCCGGTGAGTCACACCCATTAGAGGCGAGGCAAGCGGGAGCGGGTGTGCCCCGGTCCAAGGCAGCCCCCCTCAAAGCCACGGGCTCCCCCACAGGGAGCAGCGCCTGCCACTTGCCCTCCTGCTTTCCTAGAAAAGCCGGAAATCCTGGTTCTGGGAAGGCTCTAGACATGCCGACGGCGGAGCCGGTTCATCCTTTCAAACGCACAGGCGGGGGAAGACATCGGCAGCGTCGGTAACTGAAAGTGATGAGGTAGTAGCGCCGCTTTAGACATTCTAGAAGCATCCCATCTGGGTGGGATCGTGTGATGGCACAAGAGTTAAATTGTTGGAGGACATACATGTCATAAAGGAAAATCGGAGGCAAACGCCTAGGCCTAATGCCATTGGACTGGAAAGTAAAACCCTGGCATACGCCTGCCAATAGTGATGAACAGCTGTCCTCACGTGGGGGCGGGGGGTCAGAGGTCGCCCACAGGCCGTGTGCGCGGGCCTGAGCATCACCAGCGGACGTGGGCCAGAGGGGCAGCGCCTGCGCTCAGCTCCGTCTGAGTCCCGGCGCCGCCGGAACGCGGCCACTGCCATGGGCAGCTGTGGTGCATCCGTCAGACTCCAGACCAAAGGTCACCGCGGCAGCTCACACCGTGAGGCTGGGGTACTGATGGCCTCGGGACCCCAAAGCCACGAGAAGGATGCCATCCGACCTCGTCATGGTAAGCGGCTCCTCTCGGTAAACGCTGAACACCAAATCCTGGTCTCGGAAGCGGCACAGGCGCGGAGAGGCGCCGGGCCAGAGGGGACGGCCTGCGCCCAGGCCGGGACTGAGGGCGTCCGAAGAGGAAGGCATCGGCCGGCAGGAGGCCACGGCGGGCACAGGCTGCTCAGGGGCCCGCGATGATCACCTGCTGATCTTCAGCTGAAACACAGCTTCTTTATTTAAATTACCCTTTTCCTCAAAGTCGTAGTCTCACATACCTGGTCTCTAACATCTGTAACCACGTTAGTGTTGGAATTCTGTTTCGTGCGTTACATGTTCACGAAACTAACTCGTTATACCTCTTACTTGGAGCAGAATGTTCTAAGATGGAGCACTGGTGGAAAGGCGCGAAGACAACACCGTCTCACACAGCAACAGAGCATGAGACCACGGGAACTACAAATGGAAGAAATTGTCAGGAGATCCAGGCAGATGACACTGATGGCCAGAGATTTCAGCACAGCTCTCTCCACAATTAAACCAGAAAGTGCAGAGACCGGTGAGGAAACAGAAGACTTGAACGACCCTAACGACATAAAGAAAGAAACGAGCCAGCCCTGGCCAGTGTGGCTCAGAGGATAGAGCGTCGGCCTGCAGACTTAAGGGTCCCAGGTTCGATTCCAGTCAGGGGCATGAACCTTGGTTGCGGGCACATCCCCAGTGGAGAGTGTGCGGGAGGCAGCTGATGGATGTTTCTCTCTCATCAGTGTTTCTAACTCTCTATCCCTCTCCCTTCCTCTCTGTAAAAAAAATCAATAAAATATATTTTAAAAAGAAAAAGAAACCAGCTAAGTCACACCAAGACTGTTTTCTAACCGCAAAGGTATTAACTGTGAAGTCACTAACAAAAAGGTCTCTGCAAACTCCCCAAAGATTTGAAAGGGAAATCGTACACTTTTTTAAAACTACCCCGAGTCACGGGAGACACGGAAAGGACAATGGGAAGCAGTGAGCTGCACGGGGGATTCTGCCTCAGGAGCACACGCACCTGCACGAGAGAAGACAGCCCTTCCCACCGGGAACCCCGGTCCCACCTCCAGAAACCTGAAAAGCGGCCAGTGAAATCCAAAGCCCGCAGAACAAACACGGCAATGACCAGAACAGAAACCAATCCAGTGGGAAGCCAAACACAACAGAGAAAAGCACTGAAATCAAAGCCTGCTTCCGAGCCAGCCAGGGACACGGGTCACCTGTGGACACCCTGGCCGGGGACTCAGCGAGGACACAGGCGGGACCTGAATGAGCTGAGCAGCCGATCAATGAAGGAGCCCGGATGCGGAGCCAGGCCTGGCCACGCCCACGCCCAGGCCCCATGGACTCGTCAGGGTTCAGAGCGGCACCCCGGATTGACAAACAGGTTGAGTGCTGCTCGTGTCACGTTTTCCTGGATCCATCAAAGGGTCTCTAACAAGTGTAGTAGCCTTCCAAATGACCCCTCTGCAGCCCGCACACGGCCAGCAACACGTGTGTGTGTGTGTGTGTGTGTATTTGTTACTCTCTAGGAATCTAGAGTCTAGATGAATTTGTAATGAATTTCTTTTAAATTACCTTTTTTTGACAAATTGCCTGACTTTAAACATATTTTTTTAAATAGATTCTTTAATTCTGTCCTTTGTAAAGCAGAGTGTTTGCCAGAAAAACAAACCTAAGTCTGGCTTGTATTCCAGGGGTACTCCGGCCTGGTCGAACCCCAAATCCCAGCGCTGGGCGGTGTAGACGGGCTGCCCGCTCTGCGTAGGCTCGGAGGGAAGGGACTCCGGGTTAATCAAACGACCGGACGGGCGGAGGAAAGAAACTGAAACAGTCAGATCTTCCCGCCGCCTCTCGGCCTGAGCGAGGCTGATGGATGAGCTCATCTTCCACACAAAATAGCCTTTGTCTCCCTCTCCCTGGCGGCCGCTGCAGAGGGCGGTAGGGTTTGCCTCAACTTGCCCACTCGCGCGGGAGCGGCTCATTTTCAGGGTCACGCTGCAGGCAGAATGTTTCCTGAGATCTGCCGTGGTTTCCGTGTTAGCCGCTCCGGCCCGGGCTCCCACGTGAGCATAGCCAAGCCCCCGGGGAGCCGGAGTGCCAGCCCGGACCCACCGGTGCCCTCCGCCTCGGCCCAGCGGGCGAACGTCTCCCGCATTTGCTCACCAGCTCCGGGTGTCTCTGCCGAGCCTTTGAGAATGCATGGCAGCCATCAGGACATGCACCCGCGCACCTCAGCCCAACACCATTCTCCTCCAGAAAGGCCAAGAACCTCTGTGACAATCTCTCTCTCTCTCACACACACACTCACACACATACTCACACTCACACACACACTCAAACACACACACACACACTCACTCAAACACACACTCAGACACACACATACACACACACAATCCCACACACACAGTCACACACACACTCAGACACACTCACGGTGTCCATGTTCAGGTCGCCCCACTGCCCCAGGGACTTTGCTTGGAGCGGTCTGTGGCCCGCCCTGGGGCCGGTCACGGACACACGGTGCCTGCAGCCCCTCTTGCTGAGCACGTTGAATCCACAGGAAACAGCGTCGGACACTCACACGCAGCAGGAATCTCAGGCAAATGAGAGCTCCATCTTGGAGTTAACTCAGAAGCAATAACCTTGAAGTCAAGTCCCCGCACAGACCCATTTCCAAAAGGCGAAGGAGCTGCTGCATTAAGTCACACGTTAGCATAAAAGACCTAACTTGCTGAGAAATGGCGAGGGCACTGCAGTCCACACAACCCCATAAGCCAATTGGTGGGGGGAGGGGAGTGCGCACGCACCGGGGCACACCCATCCGACCCAACCTCCCATTATCTGTGAGCAGGAGCCCCATTTGTGGCAGAATGGAGACAGAAGAGAAGCAGACAGGGACCGAGGGACACATGGGAGGTGGCCGCAGCGGCCAGGAGGAGGAGGGCAGACTCCTGAGAAATTCCCAGCCCCTGTGGGAGAAGGGCGAGGCGTCCCGGGCTTAGCAAAGACACAGCTTTTCCGAAAAAAGGGCTGCAGTCACACTGGGGTCTGAGGGAGTCTGGACCCAAGTTGGCGTGTTCAAACAAGGACCAACACGGCCAGCCCCCGCTCCAGACTGACCACTTAAGATCTTGGGGTTTTAGACTTATTTTTATTGATTTCAGAGAGCAAGAGGGAGAGAGAAACATCAATGAATCAGGATCATGACCGGCCTGCACGCCCCCTCCTGGGGATGGAGTCTACAACCCAGGCCTGTGCCCTGAACGGGAATTGAACTGTGATCTCCTGTTCATGAGGTGATGATCAACCACTGAGCCACGCTGGCCAGGGTAAGGATACTGGTTTCAAATGTAGAGACCAAACAGTTATTCTTCTAATAAAATAATTATTTTAATGAAGTATTTGAAATAATTTCAAACATCTGATCAATAAGATTATACACAAATATGAGAATATGCCACAAAAAAATAAAGTTAAGCATTTAAATATACAAAAACAAATTTAGGTATAGATCTTTTCGTAAAGTACTCTTAACATATACATAATTTATAACACGTACACAGTAACTTCTGGAACGAAAGATGGGCCACTCTGAGACTCGCCTGAGCGGTGTGGCCGTGACAGCCCCGGAAAGGCGGGCGAAGGCCCCACTCGGGGGCTTTCCCCTGGATTCTCCGGGTTAGAGGCAGCGCTTGCCCACTTCCGTGGAACTTTCTTGGAGTGTACTCTCCTCCGTGACTGACTACAGCGACCATTTGTCAGCACGGTGGCATTTGAAACAAAACAGCAAAACAAAGCAGGGTCTGCTTCAGTGAAATCAGCCTCGTGGGCGAGTCTAGAACATGCTTCTCAGATGCACGTGGAGCCAAGCCCGAGAGCTGCCAACCCTGCACTGGGTCTAGAACCCCCCCAGAGTCCTGTTAAAACCTTTATGTCAGCAATTAGGATTTCTTTAATGCAACAAGGTGCTTAAAACACAGGGCAACTAAAAGCGTTTACAAAACTGTCCTTGAGGTTAAAGCGATCACAGAACAGAGAACTTGGTTTTGGAGACTGCAGATTCGAAACGTTGCGAACATTCCCTTTGCTCAGGCTGGCTGTTTTCCATCAACAAAACACGGCCTGAGCTCTGGGCCCGACTCCCCACTGCCCTGCCCCGCCACGGGCATAGGCGGCCGCTTCTGGCTTCTGCTCCTCTTCCTTCTCCCTGCTCAGTGTGGCGCAGGCCTTCAGCCCTGGTCCGCTCCGCCTTCTCCGTCTGCCGTGAGGTATGTCAGCAGCTACACCGTCAGCTTTCCCAGCGAGCTGGCCTCCTGTGGCCGCAGCCGCATCATGTGGACGGAGGACAGCAGCTCAGCACACGGTCCCCTAGGTCCCACCGGGCCCCGTCTGACACGGGACTCAGCGGCCAGTGGCCCGGCCTACCCCTGTGGCTGGTCACCTTCAGCGTCAGGAGGCGGCTAAGCAACGGGTTCCACAGAGCCCCTGGGGAGATGCCGCCAGCGGCAACCGCCCGGCACCCCGAGGGCGGTGCTGGGATGCTGGGAGAGCCTGCCCAGCAGTCCCTGCACAGAAGCAGATGCCTGCGTCTGCGTGACCGTCACGACCGGTTCCCAGGTGCACGTAAGTAACGGAAGTTCCTGACTGTAAACAAGGGCCCGGTGCTGGGCCCCACAGGGAGCTCCGGGCCGAGCCTTCGCCCTGGGCGGGAGGGACAGCGGGCGGAGGCCTCACTTGAGAAGCGCGAGGTAGAGAGCGCGCGAGTGCTTCATGTCCCGCTCCTGCTCCATGCAGAACACCAGGTCCCGCAGGCAGACCCGCGTGGCCTGCGGGCGGGGCAGCTGCCTGCTGCCTGCCAGGCCGCAGGTCCTGGGAGCCAGAGGGTTGTCCTTCAAGCCCTGAACAGAGGAAAGAGAGAACGTGTTACAATAAGCTCAGCCTCTGGCCAGTGCCGCGAGGCCCCGCCTGCAGGACACACCTGCTGCTCACCCAGCTCAGGGCCCACATCCTGGGCTCCCGGGCCACGCGCAGCTTCCTACCAACTTCTCTGCCGCACAGCCTGTCCCCTCTGAAGGGCAGGAGGCCAACAGTTTTGAGTGAGGTGACTCCACAGGTGCGTGTGCAGGTAAGCCCTGTCAGAGCTCCCACTTTGAATGTGGGCAGTCTTCTGCACATCATCCATGTAATAAAAGCCTAAGCAACCGTACGGCAGAGCAACCAGAACGACCAGCCACTATGATGTGCACTGACCACCAGGGCAGACGCTCAACACAGGAGCTGCCCCGGTGGTCAGTGCGCATCCAGAGGGGGAGCACAGCTCGGCCAGAGACCCAGCTCACAGCCGGCAAGTGCAGAGGCGGTGGCAGGTGTCTCTCCCGTCTCTGCAGCAGCACTAAGGAGCAGCGAGCAGGTGGGTGGTAAGGAACAAGGGGTCCAAGTCTGTGAGAGGGCGCAGGCTGAGTCTAGATTTTGTGTACCAGCCTCTAGTCTATATATATAAAAGGCTAATATGCAAAGTGTCCCTTTGGGAGTTCGACAGAGAGAACGGGAGTTCGATCACTTGCTATGACGTGTGCTGATCACCAGGGGGTGGCATGGAACATTGACGGGCAACCAGAGGCAGTGGGGTGCTGAGGGAGTGAAGGAAGGAGGAGCAGGGATGCGGGGAACCTGATAGGCCCAGAAGGGCCCTGATCGGAAGCCAGGCCTGGGGACTTTTCCTGTGTATGAATTTCGCACACCAGGCCTCTAGTTATAGAAATAAAAGGGAAAGACGTAAGCGGTTCAGATCCCACCGCTCTATGTCCCAAATACCTCTTGTTCGTTACTACTCAGTTAGAGCCACAAACTCTAATCATTCCCTCACAGTTTTGTTTGTTTTGTTTTGATGGAGAGGAGGAAGTTCCACGCTACAGTCTCCAAAACATTAGGGTCAAAACAAGTCAGCTTCCACAGCTCCCCGTGTCCTATTGCGACGGTACCTAAAATTACCTGAAGATGAGGAAATGTGTAGCTAGCGATGGACATTACTTTGAATATAGCATTTTTTATGTTTCTCTTGAAATCATTGTGTTTTCTTTGATTACAAAATCCGCATTTTTAACCGGCACACAAGGTATACACTATGGGACACGATGCAGCCATGAGGAAAGATGAAGCGCTGTTTGGGACAACATGGACCTTGAGAACACCGTGCTAGGCAAAGTAAGTCAGACAGAAACGTCAAGAACCTTATGATGTCACTCATAGGTGAGATATAAAGCTGAAAGCAACAAATGAACAGATAAGAAAAACAAAGATACAGACAACAGCATGGTGGTTATCAGAGGGGCGTGAGTGGCAGTAAAGGGAAAGGGGGTCAAATACAAGGTGACAGAAGATATGACTTCAGGCGGTGGGCAGACAGGCAATACACATGTGGTGTGTCCTAGAATTGTACACTTGAAACCTTTATCATTTCATTAACCAATGTCACCCCAATACATTTAATAAAAAATGAATGAAACCCAATACACCTGTATTAAGACAGTTTTCTAAATATCAATGTACACATTCCACTATTTAAAAAATAAGATTGGGCCGAAACCGGTTTGGCTCAATGGATAGAGCGTCGTCTTGGGGACTGAAGGGACCCGGGTTCGATTCCAGTCAGGGGCATGTACCTTGGTTGCGGGCACATCCCCAGTAGGGGGTATGCAAGAGGCAGCTGATCGATGACTCTCTCTCATCGATGTTTCTAACTCTCTATCTTTCTCCCTTCCTCTCTGACAAAATCAATAAAACATATTAATAAATAAATTAAGATTGTAAGAAAAAATAAAAAATACAGAATTCCTACAGAAAGGGTAGTTTTATGGAAAAGTCCTCGATTCTCTTCTTTTTTTTTTATTTTGCCACATTTCGTTTCAAAAACATCTTGATCGGGTGGGAACCTCCTTTCTCCCCTGAAGACTTACACAGGAGATGCTCCCCTGACGTAGGAAGCAGACCTGGTTCAGTTACTATACTTCTGTGACCAACCGTTATCATATTCCCTCTACATTTTTTTTTAATGGAGGGAAGGAAAGGCCTTCATATGATCTCCGAAATCACTATGGTCCAAACAAGTCAATTTTTTTTAATTTTTAAATCCTCACCAGAGGACATTTTTTTCATTGATTTTTAGAGTGGAAGAACACAAAGAGAGAAACGTCAATGTGCAATACACACATTGATTGGCAAGGCTCGTGCCCTTAACCTGAATCGAACCAGAGACCCTTCCGTCTGAGGGGCGAAGCTCTAACCTATGAGCCAACAACGGCCTGATCAAGTCAACAATCATACATGTTCACAGAATGCGTGGGGGGCATCTATCTAACGGTCAAATAAGATTTCCTTAGAAGATACTATTAATATTCAGTTTGGGGGAACGTGATGTCACCACATTTCTGCACGCCTTAGGTGGAACCTGGAACAAAGTGTGGCTTGCCGCTCCTGCAGGCTGTTGGTCAGGAGCCATTTGTACATACACAGGCGCCGTCAGCCAGGAGTGGCGCCAGGCTCCAGCCGCCTCCTCCCTGCCCGCACTGCCCCCTGGAGGTGCTGTAACGCAGGGGTCATCTCCCCTACTGTACATGACCAGCATGGAAACCTTTCCATGAGATTCTGCAGAATGGCCCACCAGCTCAGATTAAAAAGTGCACATTAGGAAGAGAGTGAAGCAGGGGTGTCATGGGCAGTGAGTGGCAATTCTGTTGCAGATTGGAATTATCTGTTTAGTTTTACAGTACACTAAACAGAGACATTTCTTTTAGTCAAAAATTGGTTACATTATGCTAAAACTGAGTCTCTATATATTCACAAATGTTTTCTACCTGGAGTTTTCCCCAAATCAGTCATTTAGTGTTTTATATGAATTGTGCAATTAAACAGTTAGGTGGATGAACTCTGCTGGGCAATTCTACCTCAATGTAAATGCCCAGGAACATGTCCTCTGTCCCCCTACATGCCAGTCCCAAACCAGACACCACCCAAAGCCCATTAAGAGTAGAATAGCCAAAACCGGTTTGGCTCAGTGGATAGAGCTGTCAGCCGACAGTCTGAAAGGTCCCAGGTTCGATTCCGGTCAAGGGCATGTACCTTGGTTGCGGGCACATCCCCAGTAGTGGTGTGCAGGAGGCAGCTGATTGATGTTTCTAACTCTCTCTCTCACTTCCTCTCTGTAAAAAAAAATCAATAAAATATATTTAAAAAAAAAAAAAAAGAGTAGAACAGACAACAGTGAGCAGCCATACAAAGGGGACAGCACACAGCAGCAGCAAGCTGGGCACCTGGGAGCATCACAGAAATGTTAGATGGAGGCGGCAGACACGGGAATAAGCCGTTTGAGCCCATTTCTCTGTAAATAAAACAGGCCTGGCAGAGGGGAGGACAGAGCCCGAGGGAGAGGAAGGTGTGGGAGGTATGTTGGCGATGTTCTCATTGGAAAATCAGAGCCTCGGCCTGGGTGCTCTTCTGGATCCATGTGACATACTTCAAATAGAAGAAGCACTTAACAAAGCCCTTGGTTAGGTAGGAAGTAAAAGGGGGAGTAAAGAGGGAAAAAGAGAAAAGAAAACAAAGCAAAATTGTTAAGCAGAAAACATGTACAAAGACCTAATGATCTGGGAAAGGAACAAAGGGGTCACAGGTCATGCATGTCACGTGATAAGCCTGAAGGGCCCGGGGCAGAGCCACATGGCAGCTGCCGGCACAGGGTTGAAAAGCAGGTCAAGCCGACAGGATGCGGCAGCGCCCGGGGCAAGGTTCTGAATGAAGCCACCCGGGGACAGCCGCCAACAGAAGGGCCTCTCAGCTCCCCACTGGCCCGAGGTGACAGCAGCCTCCCTCACAGTGACCGCCTGGAAAGCAGCCTTCCTCGAACCGGTGCAAACGCATGCCTTTTGTTCCCGGGCCTGCGTTTTGGGAGAGTCCGCTTGTCATTTTCATAGAGACCAGCAGACCGTCAGCCACCTCTCCACTGACCACAGGAAGAGGTGGGAGTGTGTGCACAGTTAAAGCCCCTTCATCTTCAGCTTCCATCCTCTTCCACCACCGAGTCCTCTCCCAAGCTCCTCAGCATGGCTGTTCCCGCCACCCTATTCTCTCAAGTCCCGGCTACCGTAGAGCTTGTCTGTCCTGCCACTCTCCTTCATCCCCCCACACTCCCCTGTCTGTCCCAGTGACATTCTTAAATGCAGTGGAGCTCTGAATGCCTAAAGCTAACCACTAGACTAACGGGCATGTCACACACGCGGCAGCAAGTGGAGGGCGTACCCCGGGACAGGCATGCCCCGTGACGCGAGTTCCCCCCACAAGCTCCGCCAGCCACAGTGAGCAGCTCTCGGCTTGACAGAAGCGACCACAGTTATCAACAGGGTCTCTGGATGCTAATGGCAACCTCCCCCACTCTGCTCCCAAATGGCAGGACCAGCCAACAGTCTGCGTTCCTGAGACCCGACAGGTAGCCAGGCACAGAAAGGCGATGTGTAAGAGGGCGGGAAGGCTGCGTCCGTTTCTCACACCGCCTGCCCGGCTTCACTGAGCCCAGGCCACCTCGGCAGCTGTAAGGGGAAGAAAGCAAGAACTGGGCATGGGAGCCGGAGTGAAATGAAGAAACGGCTTCAAAAGAAAAACCAAACCTCTTCTGAGCCCCGGTGCTTGGCCTGTGAGACAAGAACAGACACCTCCGTTCCAGAGACCAAGCTTCCGGCGGAATGACAGCCCGGAGAAGATCGAACGAGGCTGACTGCCCTCTGCTGGCCAACAAGCAGGACTTTTAAGCAACAGATTCGCCCTGATTACCTTCATTTTATTCTGAGTTATTTCAGAACACTGACAAGCCTGCATGTTAATCGGAGAATCCTGTCACTTCTAAGTCTTTTATAAAAGTAACATGTCAAACTAGACTGATGTGACATGAGCCATGGGCTCTGAGTTCTAACCAGTTGTGTAAGAGAGCAATAAAGATAATGCTGGCTGTTCTTTGGTAATGACCCCATCTTTACCCAAAAGAATGCCTTCTTAAATTCCAGACTCATTTCCCATTTCCTAGTGAGGTCTCCAACGCAATGAACCACACATTTACCACCTTTCTAGTCATACTCCTCCTCCTTCTCTTCTTTCTTATTTAAAGGTCAGAAATCTCGCTGTGGCCAGTATGAATATTACACTAAAGTAATAAATAATCCAATAACACCGTTTTCCTGCTTACAACACTCCATGGCACAACCTCCTCCAGGACCAGGTCCAGCATCCAAGCGGGACGCACAGCCTCCACGAGCAGACCGAAGCTGCCGCCGTCTCCTCTCCCTCCCTCCTCCGACTCAGACTGTGACCAGGCACAGAACAGCTCCCTCTTCCTCCCCACACCATCCTCTCCCGCAGACCTCATCCCATCCCTGGACCACATCACCCGAGTTCTTTAAGATCAACACAGGTGGCACGTTTCTCCAGTGACACACACACACACACACACACACCATGTCGAGATGCGGTGTGGCTCCTGGGTGGTTAGCAGTGCACTGTCTGACTACCAGCACCGGCATCCAGTGAGGGCCAATACCTTGAACTTCCTCCCTGGCCAGAGGCAAGGATTGGTGTCTGAATAGTTTATAGTGCTTGGCACTTAACTGGTATCCCATCCGTGTTTGCCGTACAACCAGGTGTCTAGTGCCCAGTAATAGCACGGAACAAACAGTGAAATGAGCCATCTACGGGCTTCAGAGCATTTACAGTAAGACCCTGTCATCCTTCGCTTTAAGCCACATAAATCTGGAAGAAAAACACAGCCTTTGGATGGCTTGTTCCCAAGCATTACTCAGCTCGTAACCACGATCTCATCTCAACGCTGCCTTGGAGCTGCCACCACGTTATGTTGGAAATGGAAACATATGGAGATGGATAAATTACAATACGTCAACGAAACGTGTGGAACATCTGAAGACAGGGGTAAGATGTACACATTATGTCATTATGTAAAAGAGATTAACAGAAATATTACTGTACTATGAATTTTGTAAAAATGTGGGTGTGATTACTTTCTATAATAAATCCATTATTTTTGTGAAAATAAACATTTTAAATATAATAAAAGCCTAATATGCAAATCGACCAAACGGCAGAATGACCGGTCACTATGACGTTCACTGACCACCAGGGTGCAGACACCCAACATAGGAGCTGCCCGAAGCCCACAGGACTGCCAAGGTGGGTGCCGGCAGGAGTGCCCCCACCCCCATCACCCCTCTGGTCACCCTGCATAGGTGGTGGCAGAGAGAAATGGGGCGGTGTGCGGGCAGCACCAGACTGGCCAAAGCAGGTGCCACCGGCTGCCCCCCATCACCCTGCCAGTGGCCCACAGATGGGCCCTGATTGCCTATGCATGAATTTCGTGCATCGGGCCTCTAGTTTTAAATATAAAATTTTATGTTACCGAACCAGGGAGGAATGCTTACATAAATACTTAAATAGGAAGTCTGAGGAGCCACAAGGCTCACGTGCCAGAGAAGCGCTGGCAGTGAGGGAGCTGCTGGAAAGGCAGGAAGGAGACCCTGGATGAGGAAGGCCGGGCTTCCGAGCGCCTGTTAGGCAGCTGAGTGGAGCCTGGCTTTGGGAGGGGATAGTCCCCGTTCCACATCACATGAGGCCAATGCTGCTTATCAAACCCAGACATGTCCTTTCTCTGCAACGGCAGCAGGCAGATCAGCAAGTGGTCTCGTTCCCTGGACAGGCTAGCTCAGCAGGCTCCAGGCCACTGGGCACCTAGCAGGCTCACCGGGCAGGACGGCAGACACTGAGCGCAGGGGTTCTCCCTGGCATGCACGCACCTCACCACGTGTCCCGATGGCTGCCTCTCTCTCACCAGTTCCAACAGCTTGGTATCGGTACTCGCATTCGCACAATGGCCTGGAGAGGAAGGCTGCCCGGATCTGGGAGACGGGCTACGACACAGGCCTGAGGGGAGATGGTCAGTGAAGGTACAGAGCTGGGCCTGCCAGCTGAAGGCATCTAATTCTGACGGTCTTTACTATAATAGTAAGGAGAGGGAAACGCATGTGCCAGATCAATGCCTGCTCACCAAGTGCCAGGGGCCGCACTGACTTGCTCTCACAGCAACCACAGCCGAGCACTCACCGCAATGGAAGCCAACACCGGGTTAAGTCTATACAAGCAATCACCGTCCTCTGAGAGCCACCGTCTTGACTGCCCGACAGGCGAGCTGAGGGGCTGTGGTGGGAATCGCCACTGGCATCTTTCCCCCCAATGCGGCTCTGCGCCCTCCTGGGGGAACAATCCCCATGGGGTGGGTAGGCCACATGCTAGTGGCTCTACTGGGCGTTCTCGCTCTCCCAGCCAGGGGCCCACGGAGAGAACTCTAGTAGGTGTTAGGTAAGTCTATTCCAATTCCGCATTCCAGAAACACGGAAGTAAGCCCCTCCCGCCCACTGGGAGACGACCTCAGGAAACTCCACTGACTGATGGCAACAGTGGTGTCGGGTCCCCAGAACACTCAGGCCTGGCAGGTCCAGCATCGCTAAGAAGTCTAGTAGCTGTCCCTGCCCGATGCCCGGGCACCAGCAGACGCCGAGCGTCTTGGGAAAGGCACAGAGGAGATGCCCGCAGACACTGGCTTGTACAGCCGGGTCCTTCCTCAGGGGGACCTGGCTTTCCCTTCACTCCAGCTCTCTGGGTCCAGGAACTGACGTGAGCCCACGGACGGCTGAGGGGCTCTAACCCTGAGATCTGCTGACACTGCAGTAGCTACACCTAATTTTCTTCAGCAATTAAGAGCCGCCTGTCTCTGCCACTGACTTCTACCACTCCCGCCGCCGCCTTTCGGGTCCTGGTTTGATGGCACCATTTCTGTCATCACCACCTTAAAGACAACAGCCACCAGAGCCCCTAAGGACGCTGAGGCTCCCCTCATGAATGTGTATCTCAGAGCGTTGGGGGACAGAACGGCTGAGGTTTGTGGAAAAATAAGCTGCAGACCAATCTTCACAGACAAGCGGGGTTCAGATCCACAGGAGAGAGGATTACATAAGACTGCTACAAAGAAGGCACTGAAATAAGACGCTGAGAGTGAGCCTCCGTGTGACCAGAGACGGAATATGGGGAGAAGTATAAAGTAAGTGTTAAATAGGAATCAAGTTCAAGGTGATACATACTTCACGGACTGACAGAAATTTGGGGTTTATAAAACAGGGGTTTATAAAACAGGCAAATGGACATGTTCGGAAGCGCTTGGAGGTAAACACGCGCCAGACAAGGTGACTGCCTGCATGAATCGCTCCCTTCGGTGGGCTCTGCTGACGGGAGAAATGAAGTAACAAGCACTCCATCCTACCTCGCTCCCGGGCGCAGCCTCCAGCGGCCTCTTCCTCCTCGGCCCGATGGCAGCCAGGGCGGTGAGGTTGGCGTCTCGCTGCTGGATCTGTGCGAGCTCCATCTGCTGCAGCTAGAAGGCGGGGAAGAAAGGCGGCGGTCACACAGGGCAGAGCGGGAAGCTGGCCTGGAGCTACCTCTGTCTCCGTCACGTGTTTACAAGGAGCGGGATGGGAACAGGCAGGAGTGCATTGTGTGACCATCTTGCAGATGCCATTTCTCTGTGCTTGAGTCTAAATTAGGTCCCTTAGAACATTCAAATCAGTAAGAGCTCTGGGGGTCAGGGAAAAATGAAATGACAATATTTTATTTTTACCAAACATTTGCGACTAACACAGAGTGGCTCTGTTCTTGGAATGGGGCCAGTGTATTTGATTCTTTTTTTAATCAAGTAGATTCAAGATAGAACACTTTTTAAATATTTTGGAAAGAAATTATATTGAATTCATTTAATCTTGCTAGGAAAAATAACTGAACAAAGGTGGCAAGGGAGAGGGGAAATGCAGGCTTGGTACCACCTGCTCTCATTATGAGAAGTTCACATTTACTCTTACAAATTAAAAAAAACAAAATGCTATCTACCAATTCATCTCTCAGGAAATAATTATACACAATATAAAAAACAAAGCCATCCCACACAAACGGCAGGAAAAATTAATCTCAGGTCAGATGTTTGTAAAGAAGGAACAGGATAAGATCTTTAAGGATAAAAGGGTAAGCTTTATGATATATTATTTTCCATTACAGGGACACAATAAAAAGAAAGTGTATAAGCATCTTATCAATCCTTAATTAAAACAAAGAGGGATGCCCATGGCTCAGAGCAATAATAGTTGCCCATCCCCAAATAATCTGTCATCAAGCCAAGCTTGCTGATAAAGGATTATATAGGTACAGTTCTCATATTACTTTTTTCAGATACGATTTTTACGTAAGTTTTCCACTGGAGAGATATGAGCATGAGAAATGCTTTGCTGATGAAAAGAAATGTTTCTGGTTTCAATTCTCTTTAATGTCCCCCTTCCAGTTCTCCTCACCCCAATCCAGAAACCCTGGCATTCAGAGCTGCATTTTCCTTCTCTACTTGAGTGTAAAAATCCACATCGATTGTAAGATTCTTACTAGATTTCCAATTGCTTGCCTCAGCCCCTACATTAATCCAAATAACCAGGGCCTTTAAGCCCTCATCAGTAACCTGTGCTGCTGGCCCCGGAGCCGCATGCGGTGATGTTAAGAAACAACAAATTTCCTCGTCCAAGAGGCGCAGTTAAGGAAAAAGGTGGCTCCGGAAGTCACTCTTATTTAGCACCAAGATCCTCAAAATTGCATGAAATCAGTCAAGTAACTATAGAAACCAATTTCTTCAGCTTCATATCACACGTCTCACACCTCGACTGTCTTTCTTATTGTCTGCTGTCAGATCCTTTATCAGAAATGTGAACGGGCTTGATGATTTATTCAGCGGGGAAAAGAATCTGTAGGTCAAGTGAAAAATTTCTCTCTCTCTCTCTCTCTCTCACACACACACACACACACACACACACACACTCCAGCTTCAACCTCAGGTACTTTCATTTCCTTCTGTTCTCTGCAGCTCTGGGGGCAACTCCAGTGAGATCCAATATTAAGGCTCAATTAAAATAAGCTCCAATTAGTGGAGCTCTTTTCTCTGGGGCTAGAAAAGTCAGGAAATGGATATTGGGAAATGTAAAAAGTCAGCTACTGAGAGGAGGCTGCAGACATAAATGAACTTATTTGTTGATTTCTACAGTTGCTATGCAGAGGCCTGTGGGAGTAAAAGCTTAACCAGTCTGAGCTATAAACTAAGCCCCTGCAGCTAAACATGAACTGTGTGAAACAAGGGCTCCATTCCAGAACAGAAAACTGCTGGGCCCAGAAAATTAAAAGCCAGAGGCGTTTTCCATTTAAAACTAAATCCCAGTACCGCCTCCCAGCCAAAGAATTATAAGCAGTATCAGATTTACAAAACGAACAATTACCCTGGAAAAATGTAGCCTATTGTACAGCCCCAGATGCTAAATCTCAGAAGTTACTTTTCCCCTTAATCCCACATTACTCCCCCCAATGAGCCGCTGGGCCCACAAAGAGCCTTTCTCGGGCCAGGCCTGGCCGCCAGCGCTCCAGGAGAGCCAGCACAGCCTCCCTGACCTCATTCAGCACTGCCCTTGCCCTGGGCGCTCCCGCCCTCCCAGGGCTCACACACGGCACGCACAGCCCAGGCGCCCTGACTCCATGCCAGGGGAGGGCTGCCAGTGCCCCCAACACAAAGGCAAGCACGGCAGCCTAGGAGTCCTACCTCCTTGGCTTTCTGCTTCAGCCTCAGCTGCTCTGGATCTTCTTTATTGGAACGGCTCTATCAAAGGAAAAGAAAATTTAATAGAAATTACAAGCATCTAAACATCATAGGTGCCGTTTAATATTTAATAAATGACAATTTTCTCTGGTGATTGAAAGCCTGAGCTCCAGGGGAAATACCTCAGTCTAGTTCTGCGCGCTCTCCCCCTCTCCGCTCCCCCACCCGTGGCCCCCTATGGCCGGCGGCGGCTGAGCTCCAGCCGGGAGCTCCAACCAGCATGATGCTAACAGCGTCAGGCAGGTCAGTGGAGGCATGACGCCGCCCTGTCAGGGCACGGAGAACTGCAACACCAGGGTATGGACTCGGGAAAAGAAAAGACGGGTAACTGTTGGCTTAAAGGAATGAAAACAATCAACAATGGCTAATCTTTAGGTAAAACCGTTGGGGCGTGGGGGAGGGAGGGAGGACTACTAAAATCAAGACCCTGACTAGCTTCAAACCAATTCTCTCTCTTAGAAAGTGTAATTTAAAAAAATAAATAAATAAGTAGAAGCCTGGCCAGGGTCACCCAGTGGTTGAACATCGACCTATGAACCAGGAGGTCAGGGTTCGATCCCCAAGCAGGGCACATGCCTGGGTTGCAGGCTTGATCCCCAGTGTGGGGTGTGCAGGAGGCAGCCCATCAATGATTCTCTCTCATCACTGATGTTTCTCTCTCTCTCCCTTCCTCTCTGAAAGCAATAACAATATATACATTTTAAAAATGCAATGTGGAACCTCGTGCAGTAGAAGAGAATGTTAGGAACACAATATCGGCCTAGTGTTGTCTCATTGAACGTAATTTACCATTGGCCAGCCTCCAAATTCCCACACAGAAAAAAATAAAACAGACCCAGAGATAGAAAAACTCCGAGCAGACAATCAAACCTCCGAGGGAAGGCAGGGGAGGGGGGGCCAGGAGGAGGAGGTAAGAGATCAACCACAGGACTTGTATGCATGTGCATTAGCATAATCCACGGACACTGGGGTGGTGGGGGCTTGTCCTGGGTGTGGGAGTGGCCAGGGAGGGGTCAATGGGGGGGGGGGGAAGGAGACATGTAATACTATTAACAAAAATAAAATAAAATAATAAAAAAGAATCTTGGTAAAGGAGATGAGCATTCTTTATATAGTTCAAGCAACTTTTTGGCGAGCATGATACAATTTTTTAAAAAAATGTTTCTGAAAAATGATTCCAATGTAATTAGGAACAAGTACTCTAAAAGGGGTGGCTGCCAAGATGCTAGAAACCAAAACTAAGGTGTTTAAAATTCAAAACAAAACTCGTGTCCAATTCCGAGGCTCCGCACACAAGCCCTGAACTGGAAGGACAGCAGTGGGTGAGCGTCCCTCCAGCACCAGCACCAGGGGAGAGCCAGGCGGAAGTTCGACAAGGGAAGAGGAAATAAATAACGGTGTCATCTCCTCTCTTACACCCTCTGACCCATTTCTGGAATCCTAGATTGTGTTCCATAAAACCCTAATTATCTTAACTTTACCCATCCCCTGCCTGTCTACCTTCCCAAGTTTCCTCTCTCAACTCCAATGTGCTTGGCACAGGTCAATCACAGCTGAAACACCATGAAAACTGTGTAGACATCTGTTGGGTGATGCTAGGCATGCAGAAATTGAGAATGAGGCATCTCGTTAAACTAAACTAAAGGAAAGCACTGCACCCACCATCCTGGGAGTGAGGATTCTATCACAAGAAGCCCTTGAGGGAAAGCAGGAGCCTGTGAAACCCAGACTGCCAGTCGGCGGGAAACTTCTGCCACCTCGCTGGCGTGCTCCCAGGCAGGCGCTCACCTTGGCGGCCTTCAGCAACATCTCTCTTTCCTCCAAGTCCTTCCTCTGCTTCTCCAGCTGATCCAGCTTCTCGAGGAATTTGAGCTGTGACCGGGTATCACTAGACAGGATGTAACTGTCACTCGTCTGGAAATGAAAAGAATCTTAGGATGGGCCTGGGCAACACACTCACAGAAGGTCTTGTTACAAATCAGCTAATGGCAGGAACAGCAATACACTACAGGGCCGCTAATTTTTCAGAGGTAACATTTTCATTTCTGTGAAACAAATGTCACAAAGAAAAAGCTTTAATTACCCTTAAAATTTGAGAAAGGATTAAGCATTTAAATTGTGAAGATCTCTCCTAGTAAGCTTCATTGGGAAAGGGTGGAAGAATTAAGCCAAAGAGATCCTAACAAGGAGAAAACAACAGAGTGTAGCATTTAACTGTAATCTGAATCGTTTTGGTTAAATTACTGCCTATCTGAGCAGATTTTGATGTGATTAATTACATCGGAGGCCTGTGAAGGACAAAAACAAAACAATTGCTTCACTGAAAAATGGACAAAAGATGAAAGTTATCACCCTTGTTTCCATGTTGGATGGCTCTAACCTGGTCACGTGAATACAATTTCCACCACACTAACAGCATGAGAGAAGATGGCGAACATTCAGATCATAAATCCTGTTCTGAGGATTGCCTTAAGTCCGTGGTCGGCAAACTGCAGCTCAAAAGTCACATGGGGCTCTTTGGCCCCTTGAGTGTGGCTCTTCCACAAAATACCACGGCCCGAGCAAGTCTATTCTGAAGAAGTGGCGTTAGAAGAAAATGTCAATTGTTGTACTGTTGATATTTGGCTCTGTTGACTAATGAGTTTACTGACCATTGAGCTATGCTGTTAGGAGACAGGACAGTATTGTCTTTGATGGGAAGTAGTGGCTACGGAGGACCTTAAATGGGGGGTAGCAAATGCTGATGATGTTCTGCCCCAAGAGACCCTACCCATACACGAATTCTTGCACCGAGCCTCTAGTGCCCTTTTTAAATGAGAGCCATAACAGCAGCAATTGATCCATAAAATGATAAAATATATGTTGTTTCATTTATTCTGATATTTCAGAGTATGAAACAATCTAAATACTTCGCTATTTTCTTTATCTGATCCAATGACTTTCCCCCACCTCTCTAATGCATGGATAAGTAAGCATACTTGTGATGGAGGGCCATTTCCCATCAATATGTGAGACACCTGCCTCCATTCGCCTCTGATTCAGAAGTCAAGCTACAGGAGAGGGACCAGAAGACTGAGTAACTGCAAAACTTAGACTGTTTCTAACATTCAGTCCAACGGCCGCTCCTGACTTGTAAACCATGGGCACAACACCACTCATCTTTGTTTCACCCCGTGCTCATGGCTGATCCCATTAACTGGACTAAGAGATTGCCTATGTCTGAGATTCTTTTTAAATTGAATTGTTATTGTTGGTAATTCACTAGATCACAAGAGTATTGCATAGTGTAACTAACAAGGCTGTATTAGTGCTATTTACTTCATGTATAATAACAAAAAGAATTTTCAAGTGCTTTTTAAGTTAAATAATACAGATAGACTATGGAATACATTATAGGTCAACTATAGAGATATAAACATAATAACCAGTGGTTTCTTAAATACTTCATCTTTACAGTTCCTTGTTCAGATATACTGGAGATAGATTACTTTAAAAAGACAACCAACAGTAAATTAAAAGGGGACAGAGACTTTTTAAACTTCCACCCAATCTCTTTCCCGTGCTTATACTGCTCTTCTCTCCCCGTTTTGACAGAGCCACCTCTGGCTTCATGAATGATCCTTGCTATCCTCTCCCACACACAAAACAAATGTGTGCTTCTCCTCTCCTTCTCAGTCCCCGACCTCATCGCAACAACAACACCCCAGTCTCATCCTATTCCTTCCACAGGGTGTGACTTAGCAATAAAAATACAAGGACTTAGACCACTGATTCCCAACGTGGGGGGCAGTTTGATTTTTAAGGGGGGCAATTCAAGAATGTCTTATTAACCGAATTTTTTACATTTCTTATGGTTCTAGGTGTCTTATTTATAGAATGTAAATATATATTATGACATATTTATGCATTTCAGTTCTCTACTATGTTTTGAAACTTTGCTGTTTTTTTTCATGTCACTTCATATATTATCATTTTTAACTATTTCTTAGTGATGTCTTCCTCAGGACTTCCACTGTCCTTTCATTCTTTTCTTTTTCTCTTTCATGGATGCCATGTTCTTGGGAAGCTTGTTCGGACCAAGTGAATGGCCTTTACAGCGTCCTCCACATGAATAGAAGTTCACTTTTTTTTTTTTTTAATGTATTTTATTGATTTTTCACAGAGAGGAGGAGAGAGCGATAGAGAGCCAGAAACATCGATGAGAGAGAAACATCGATCAGCTGCCTCCTGCACACCCCCCACCAGGGATGTGCCCGCAACCAATGTACATGCCCTTGACAGGAATCGAACCTGGGACCCTTTAGTCCGCAGACCGACGCTCTACCACTGAGCCAAACTGGTTTCGGCAGAAGTTCACTTTTTTAATAATAAGGATTCTATGTCACAAGGGGAGGGATCAGGATTTTAGAGATGCTTAGGAGGCATGGCTGAAAGAAGGCTGGGAACCACTGACCCAGACAACCACCAGTGAACCTCAGCTAAGGAAAGACCGCAGTCCCTCCAAGTCAACTGGACACACTGAAGCCCAGACAGCCACAGGCATGCAGGGGCTGTTCTCCTTCTTCCGTGGGAAAACACCTGGCAGACAACACCAAAGCTTTGTGCCTCATGTCACTTTCTACTTCTTTACTGAAATCTCAGTCTATGGACTGGGACTGAGTAGAGAATTATATCTAACCAGGTGAAAGATTTTATCCAAAGCAGATGAATTTTAAAAGGGGGAGTGTGGGGAATGGGATTTTGTTTTTAATAAAAGTAGCTCACTTTTGTGAAATTCATGGAGTAAGGACATACAGAGGGCCAAGAAACATATGAAAACATGCTCAAAGTCACTAACCATCTGAGTGATGCAAATCAAAATGACAATGCAGTACCATCTCACACCTGTCAGAATGGCTGTCATCAACAAATCAACAAACAACAAGTGCTGGTGAGGATGTGGGAAAAAAGGAACCCTCGTTTACTGCTGGTGGGAATGCAGACTGGTGCAGCCACTGTGGAAAACAGTATGAAGTTTCCTGAAATATTTCTTTTTAGATAAATAATGATCTGCCTTAGAGTAAATAAATCTCCACCATGTGCGATCAAATTCTATTTCATGCTCTTTTCAAATAAAAATATGAAAAATGCTGTGCTGAAAAAAAAAAAAAAAAAAAAGAGTAAAATTTCCCACATTGTACAGATAAAAAAATACATCCTTTCAGGGAAGAACTAAAATGTAAAGACAGGTTCAATTCTCTGACACAAACATTATTACAACCAAAGCCTACAAAATAAGTATAATGAAAATGTTTTTACTGACTTCAGAGAGAGGGAAAGAAATAGAAACATTGATTGATAGGATCCCTCCTGCATGCCCTCTACTGGGGATCGAGCCCAGAAACCAGGCGTGTGCCCTGAGAATCGAACCATGACCTCCTGGTGCATGGGATGATGCTCAACCACTGAGCCACCCACCAGGCCAAAATAATCTTGCAGTGGATCCAAATATAACTAAATGATTATCATTTCTCTCTTAAGGGACATGTGGCTGCCTTTCCAGACGTACAAATTCAGACAGGGGCACTGAGTGTATTAAGGAGTGAGTGTGGAGAGAGGTGACAGGAGAAAGTCAATCAGGACAGGCAGTGAGTGCACAGGCAGAAAGCTAAGAACATGTTCACTTTACACTAAGTTATTCAGGGAGGTGCCAGATGAGGGAGATGCTATTCATTTTGCAAAGGGTATCCAAACCCTTGGAACACATGCTACTGACATACAACTGAAGAACTGTATCTGAAGGCTGTACACAATAGAGATCTGGAGACAACTCAGAAGAGTAAATTCTACCTGGAGAATTCTATTCCCTTCTAAACTATACATGTTACATTTTGTATAGGAAATGCCCCTCGTACACAAAAGTGCACCATGTACCTCTGAATCAACAGAGTGGTGGAGGCAGGAATAGGGGAGAATCCAAGTTTGAAAAATTATGACTCTACATGTACGCAGCCCTGGCTCAGTGGTTAGAGAGTCGGCCTGCCCATTGGAGGGTCATTGGGTTCTATTCAGGGTCAAGAGTAGGGTTGCGCCCTGACAGGTCTGGCTCAGTGGATAGTGTGTCAATTCCGGTCAAGGGCATGTACCTTGGTTGCAAGCACATCTCCAGTAGGAGGTCAATGTTTCTAACTCTCTATCCCTCTCCATAAAAAAATCAATAAAATATATCTTTTTTTATAAAGAGTAGGGTTGCAATTTCCATCCCAACCTCAGTTGGGGCTCATGCAAAAGACAACCAATCGATGTCTCTCTCTCCACATGAATGTTGCTCTCTCCTCTTTCCTACACCCCCCTCCCTTCCACTCTTTCTCACTAAAAAAGGGGGAAAAAACAATAAAGAAACAATCAATGGGAAAAATATCCTCACTTCTTGAGGGAGGAATTTTTTAAATATATACACAAAGCTCTGGCTGATGTGGCTCAGGGGTTTGGAGCATTGTCCCATAAACTGAAAGGTTGTGGGTTCTATTCCCAGTCAGGGTTCAGTCAACAAAGTGCAGAAGGCAGCTGATCAATGTTTCTCTTTCACATCAGTGTTCCTTTTCTCTCTCTCTCTGTCTCTCTCTCTCAACCTTTCTCTCACTCTAAAGTTAAAGATATCTTCGGCTGAGGATGAAAAAGAAAATTAAAGTTGTAAAATACACACACACACACACACACACACACACACACAAAATGAGAAGTACACAAACGATAGATCAATTACACAAACAAAAAAGGCAGTAAAAGAGGAAATGAGACAGGTGCCCTTGATTGGAATCGAACCTAGAGTAAATAGATTTATTTACTCTAAGGCAGATCATTATTTATCTAAAAAGAAATATTTCAGGAAACTTCATACTGTTTTCCACAGTGGCTGCACCAGTCTGCATTCCCACCAGCAGTAATCGAGGGTTCCTTTTTTCCCACATCCTCACCAGTACTTGTTGTTTGTTGATTTGTTGATGACAGATATTCTGACAGGTGTGAGATGGTACTGCATTGTCATTTTGATTTGCATCACTCAGATGGTTAGTGACTTTGAGCATAATCCAACTAAATGTGTTTACAAACCATAATCCAACAAAATGTGTTTACAAGAGATTCACTTCAGATGAAAGCACATAAAAAGGTTGAAAGTGAAAGATGAAAAAAGATATTCCATGTGAAAAACAACCAAAAGAAAACAGGGGTCGTTATATTAATATCAGGTAAGATAGACTTTCAGTCAAAAATGCTTAAAAGCTACTACATATAGTGACAAAAAGAATCTATTCATCAAGAAAACATACACACCAGGGCCCTTGCACTGAAGGATCGTAGGTTCCATTCCAATCAAGGGCACCTATCTGGATTGCAGGTTTAACCCTAGGTCCCAGTCGGGGTGCATACCAATTGGTGTGTGTGTGTGTCTCCCCCTCTTTCCCTTATATAATTCAATAATAATACCGAATTCCTCAATTCATCACTTTGAATAATGGGTAGATTATCCAGACATAAGATCTATCAGGAGAACGGAACACAATAAATTAACTAGATCTAGCAGACTGGCACAAACACTCCACCAGCAACAGCAGAACTTTTACACTTCTCCAGGCACATGGAACTCTCCAAGACAGACCATAAGCTAAGGCCACAAAACAAGTCTCAATAAACTAAATGATTAAATCACACAAAGAATCTTCTCTGACCAAAAAATGAAGCTGAAAATTAAGAATAGAAGGAAAATGCAAATTTCACAAAAATGTGGAAATTAAACAAACTTTAAAACACCTGTTAAAAATTGTCACTCTTAATCAACCAATGAATGAATCAAAGAAACTTCAATGGAAATTAGAAAATAAAATGGAATGTAAACAAAAACACAATGTATCAAAACTTATTTATGTAGTAAAGCATTGCTCTGAGGGAAATTTATAGCAGTAGATGCCTCCATTAAAAAGAAAAATCTTATATATCAGTAATTTGCTTTTACAACTTAAAGAACTAAAATAAAAATTAAAGTAGGATCATTACTGATCATACAGAAATAAAAAGGATGATAAGAGAATACTGAATAATTAATGCCCTAGAAGAAACAAAGTCTAGAAACATACCCAAAAGATACTGATATTGGTATTTTAAAGCTTTTTCTTCTTCCCATCACATATTTGCAAGTCAGTCCAACAAATTCTGCCAAAGATTTATAGCAGTGAGGGCCTCAGCAATGATATAAATAGCCCTGCCCAGGTTCCCAATGAAGCAGAAAGGAGAGAAAACATGAGTCGTCCTGGGATGTGCCAGTGACCACGCTGCCCTAGTGTCCTGGGAACCTATGGCGCAGACAGCATCCCATGACCATTCTTGCGAACTCAAACCCCATGAGACTGCCCACACCCCATGTTGTACAAAGCCTCGGTTCTCGGTATTGGGGAGAAAGCTTTATCTTTATCCTTTTTCTTTTTCATCTTTCACCTCTCTCCTCCAACACCGTAATTCAATAAATCAAGGGCTTTCATCTTGATGGTGGCAAGTGATCAGGTTCACACCGTAGGGACAAAGAGGCTATCCTTGCCTGCAACTGTTTCAGATATGAAAGCAGTCGAACCGAGAAAGAGCGGCACGTATTGGCACAAGGCAATGATCTGTGACTGAGAGGAACAGGAGTGTGAGCAGAGCAGACCACTGAAGAGAGGAGAGCTCCAACGCTCGGTTCTCACACGTCTCCTCCCCATCACAAGCCTGGGGGGAGGAGCCGTGGGCAGAGCAGATGTGCAATTCAATTTACATCGAAGCTTCTGCCCTTTTAAACTCTATTTTAAATGTCGTTTGTCAGGCAAGCGAATTAGGAAGGCAAACTAGGAATGCGATTTTGATGCTCCACCAACATAAAACATGCCTCACTCACTTTCTTTAAAAAGATAGTTAGAATACAAATCCTTACCAGAGACTGCTCTGAACGTGACAAATGGAGAGAAGAACGTGACTCCTCCACGATCCCCTTACCTTGTAGGCCGTCATCCGGTGCCGAGCAATGGTGGTCAGCTTCTCCAGGAGGCCTCGCAGCCGCTCCTGTGTTGCATGGGAGATCAAATTCACGGCCTCAGAGCTCAGCTCCGTAATGTCATGCTTTTTACCTGTGCAAGCAGAAGAAACCCAGGATGTGTTTTGGTGGAGGCTGATAATTGAAATAATTAGCACAGCAGGCATTCTGTTCCCCCTGGAAGTCAGGCCCATTATGAATAAAGGTTTGGAGATTATGATTTTCCTGGTAAAGTTACAACTTCAAAGACCTCAGACTTTATATTAATAAAACCCAGCCCGAAGCCTCAGAAAATATAGCCATTGTTTTCCTGAGCCTCTAGGATCATTCTCCTGCAAGGTCACTTATAGGACAAAGTTAATAAGAACACAAACCAAGCCTAGGACTCAGGAAGAAAAATGCTAACTGTAGAAATGAGTGCTATATTCTGATAATTTTAGTAATGAAAAAAAAAATAGAAAATTACACTTAGTCCTATTGACACTGCTAACCATTCTGGCATCTCAAAGAATTCAGGTTGTGGATTTCTGTTAATGCCTTGTCTACAGACATGCCTGTACTCCTTGGTCCATTACCAATCATGCTGGCATTCAAACTGGGCTCAAAGTCTCCCCATTTCATCCATCCATTTGAGTCACTTCTCTTTCACTTCCTCTGAAACCAGACTTTCAGTCTTCCTCTTACTACCTAGAAACTTTTAGGAAAACATACCCAAAGGCAAAAGTTCATTTACAAGTCAACCTTATCACTATTTAAATAGTAATTCTCCAGCTTGGTGAAACCACCTATCTCAGCAGAGACCTAAATCTAAAGATATAGGTAATTAGGTAGTGGAATTTAAGTGAGCTTTAAATAGTGCTGCTGTGTTTGTTTTTTAATCCTCACCCGAGGGAATTTTTTTCCTCATTGATTTTTAGAGAGAATGGAAGGGAGGAGGGGAGAGGGAGAGAGGGAGAGAGGAAGTGATACCATTGCTTCCCCCACACGCCCCATCCTGGGCTGGGGATCAAGCCTGCAATAGAGGTCGGACTTAATCCCGCAACCCTTCAGTCCTAGGGCAACACTCCAACCACTGAGCCAAACCAGCCAGGGCTCTTGTGTCTGTTTCTAACATATGCCTAAACACAGAAATTTTAAAATATCAATTTGATTTTGCACTCTATCGGAAGTATACTTACATACTCATCACAGTGTGAATGAGTATAGTAAAAACAAACTTTAATTAAAAGCCAACAAATCTTAAATGCATTCTTTGACATTATTCCATAATAACTGTTAAACTTCATTTCAAAACGTGGACGATAGTAAGCCAGGCAGGAAGATTTTAACAATGACCCAGCGGGAGCACAGGAGGCCACGGACTCTGTCTGCAGGCGTCTCTGAGTGCACGTGGGCACCACTGGCAAAGCTCCCCTCCCGTTACAGAACTGGACGGACCAGCAGTTATCATGGAGATTAAATGGTGGCAGGCATGCCCAAGGAATACAGCAAGGACTGGTCCATGAATGAACCTGTGATGGATGACGTGTGTGGGAAAGAATACTGGAATGGTGGTCAGATGGGGACACAGTGTCATCAAGTTAGAAGCCTTTTAACGAGTACAAAGAATGGCTGTACCCGAAATCGGTTTGGCTCAGTGGATAGTGTTGGACTGCAGACTGAAAGGTCCCAGGGTTCGATTCCGGTCAAGGGCATGTACATTGGTTGTGGGCACATCCCCAGTAGGGGGTGTGCAAGAGGCAGCTGATTGATGTTTCTCTCTCATCAATGTTTTTAACTCTCTATCCCTCTCCCTTCCTCTCTGTAAAAAATCAATAAAATATATATTTAAAAAAAAAAAAAAAAGAATGGCTGTAAAGGGGAGCTATGGGGGGAAAGAGGAACATCTGTAATAATCTGAACAATAAAGATTTAAAAAGAATGGCTGTAGTCACCTGAGAAATCAACTGCTTCCACATGTTCCCTTTCCAAGTACCTGCTTGACTACAATACAAGAGTCCTGTCCATGTTCACATTAACTTTTGTTAAATAAACTTTTGTACTGATCAAAAAAAAAATTATCCAGCTTCTCCTAAGGCAAACCTTCACAATGTACGTCATGACTTTCTAACAAAACTGAATTCATCACCGACTTTAGATTCAAGAGGGGAAAGCACCCCACAAGGTCAAACCTACCAAAAGCATCAGCATAAACAGGTAGGGACCTTCTACAGAGGGACAGGACAATTTCAACACAGCCCAGTGGTTAACATTCCACTACACAGGGAGACAGACAGGGGAGACACGCCAGCCAGTTCATGCTTAAATTAAGACAATGAACGTTTTTAAATATTTAGTTTTGAAGGGGATTTTTGAAATAATTCTACATGTATTTACAAAACAAATAAGTCATCCTATTCGAAAGATCGTATTTTTCAAATATTAAAATAAACAAGGCTGAATTTGTAAACAATTTCAGGATTTCGTGAATAATCAAATGTATAAATATCTTCACTAAATCTATTTTAAAAATGACAAAGTTAATACGGTGAGAAAAATCCCCACTATGAAATAAAAACAATTTGTTAAAGTCAACATAACTGATGAGGAGAGCTAGTTGGTGCCTGCAAGCTTGCTCTGTGACTTACAGATGTCTGTGCGCGTTAGCTTACGTAATTACCAAGAAGAGAAAACACTGGCGTGTTTCCTCTAAGATATTTAAGTAGAAAATCTTCTTCCAAATTTTTTGGGGATACATTTATATTTTCTGTTACTAAGGAATGATCTTAAGAGTTTTTAACCTGTTCAGTAAAAAGGAAACTTTACTAGAAATGGAAAACATTCCCAAAAATAACATAACTCCATTCACTCTATGGTTATTTTTTTTAAAGCTTAGAAAAATTCAGAAGTAAGAAGTTTTGCAATTTCTCATCCTGTTAAATGACAAGTTTGTGCTTCATCAAGAACTGGAAATACCAATAATTGTCCCTAAAATTCTCCTTGAAAACAGAGGCTGCACACTGAATGTGGTCTCTATTTAATTTGTGTATAAAATTGGATGGAATACAATTGTGCCTATTGCTTCCACACTGTCTAAGCTGCTTTGGTAATAACAGCAGAGGGAGCAGCTGGGACACAGACCACAGGGCCCACAAAGTGGCAAATATTTATTCTCTGGCTCTTACAGAAAACAATTGTCCATCCCTGTCCAAAAAGATTTAAAAACTGCTCTTTCAATGCTAAAAATTTTATAATCAAGGCTCAAATCAAGCTAGAAATAAAATATGCAAGAAGGGCAAGGAATTGACAAAATTATCTACTCATATGCTACCAAAGCTTCAGATAATTATATGGCTACAAATACCAGGAGTTCAAATACCAGGAGATTCCCCAAGCTGTCACAGAAAAATAGTGCTTCTGCTTATTCCAAAATTAAAGAGCTGGTTCCTGTGCAGTACAGAATGTATATGGAAAGAAGAAAACTTGAGAAAGAGATAGAGACAGAGAGAGACACGGATGAAGAGAGAGAGAGAGAGATGTGTCTTCAGACTACTTGCACATGCTAGCTTTTCATGATAAAAGGAAGAGGAGATGTACCAACTCAAATCAGAGATAAAAAAGTATAGCCAAGACCGGTTTGGCTCAATGGATAGAGCGTCAGCTTGGGGACTGAAAGGTCCCGGGTTCGATTCCGGTCAAGTGCATGTACCTTGGTTGCGGGCATATCCCCAGTAGGGGGTGTGCAAGAGGCAGGTGATCGATGTCTATCTCTCATCGATGTTTCTAACTCTCTATCTCTCTCCCTTCCTCTCTGTACAAAATCAATAAAATATATATTTTTTAAAAAGAGATAAAAAAGTATAATAGCACAGCGTAGGCACTCAAACATTTGAATATTTTGCAAAGTAAAAGTAAAATATGTGAGAGTGATGCACTTTATAGTCCTTAAATATACCATGGGGATATAAAAATCAGAAACATCCTATTTCCGTTAGACCTTCCATATAAAATGCGAAGACCCCTGCTCAAGGACACTCAAAGGCCTAGCACTGGCCCCAAATTCAGCGCGGGTGAAGGAGAAGACCTGGGTCCAGCAAGCCCCAATCAGGACGCAAGACACAGGGCGGTCTTTTAAACAAGGGAGGTTTTGAATTTCAGGGTTTAAGATAAGAAAAGGGGGAATTACTCTCAATAGCTATTGCTTTATTTCATAAACACAAACTTGTAACCGAAGTATACATAAGTACATATAAATGCCTTATGGCCAGCCAAGGAAGAAACAGGACAGAAAAAAGTTTATTTTATGTATACTAGAGACCTGATGCACAAGTTCGTGCACTAGTGGGGTCCCTCAGCCTGGCCTGGCCTGCACCCTCCCGTAATCCGGGACCCCTCAGGGTTTGGGTTCGATCCCCGCAGGGCACCGGGAGAACTTACCACATACTGGGCCTCTAGTATGGATGTAAGATCTTTGGTTAATCTCTTCCCACCCTCCCCCTCCTCCCTTCCCTCTGAGATTCATCAGTCTGTTTCATGAATCCATGCCTGTGGTTTCCACTCCTGTGTTTAACATCTGCCCCCTAGTGGTCAGTGTGAGTCAGAGCTACCAGACAGTGGCGGGTTGTTTAGGCTTCTATAATAATAAAAGTAATAGCAGTGACCAGTTTGGCTCAGTGGATAGAGTGTCAGCCTGCAGACTGAAGGTCCTAGGTTCTATTCCAGTCAAGGGCATATACCTTGGTTGTAGGCACATCCCCAGTGGGGGGTGTGCAGGAGGCAGTTGATTGATGTTTCTCTCATTGATGTTTCTAACTCTCTATCCCTCTCCCCTCCTCTCTGTAAAAAAAATCAATAATATATATATATGTGTTTTTTTTTTAAATAATAAAATATACAAATTGACCAAACGGCTTAACAGTGGAATGACCATCCGCACAACCTTTCGGATGAAGCCGGGGCTGCCAGGGCCAAGACATGCATCAGGCCTCTAGTATATAGATATTCATATAAAAATATTTTAAAATGTGAATAAAATATTAACTTCTATTTTTAAAATAAAATACTTTCTATACCTCTCATAAAATCTATGTCAGCCTCAGAGTTCAAGGAAGACCAACTAAGACCATTTCCTAATATCATTGTCCCTGGAAGGAGCAATCCTACGAGGTCAACATCATAAGCTGGCACTTACCAATGTCTAAAATCCTCTTCTGTAGAGCTCCAACGAAGAGGAATGGCTCATCTCTACACGACTGAATGAGTGTGCCAACCAGTTTGGAGTTTGTTGCTAAGATGCAGGCGTTTTCCTCATTGAGGTTGACCCCGGCCATGAAAGTCACATCATTGATGTCATCTTCATCTCTAATAGGAAGGAAGATACAGCTCTGAGATAGTTGCAATGGTGGTGCTTATATGTATGAATGATCTAAGAGATATCAAAAGACACGATTTTACTCATTCATCTGAGCCAGAGAACTGAAGAATGGTGTCCTGTAAGCCTTTAAAAGTAACTGGTAATACTGCCCACTGTGTACATTTACTATCAGAAAAATAACCCAAAGCCACTTTGTCTTCCAGTGCCCTCTCCTGCTCTTGTTTAGTAAGTGAGCTGCATCAAGAGGGATTAGGAACTCACACCACACTATCTACCCCCCACCCCGCCGCACAATGAAAGACAGTCTTCTCTGTTTTCGTCCAGGATGATGAGAAGCCCGCAAGTTCCCCAGTGCACTCCCTGGGCCACTGCAGGCAGCAGACATGGCCCAGTCCTCAGAAGTCTGTGCCCACATCACACCCTGGAGAAGAGGCTTTCTTGCCTAGCTATTCTGAAACCAAAGGGTTAAGACACACTATTAATAACACAACAGCAAAACAATGAATTACATTTGAAGCAAGGTAGAACATGTGGTAGTCTACGCTAGAGAATCTGATTCCTGCAATATGAAAAAATGGACATTAAAGCTGGAGTAATACTATCTATGCAAATAACATGTAACCATCCTATATTATTTTCTCAAAGTGGCTTCCAAAGAAAAGTTTCAAAAATCACATTAAACTCCTAGCTGTTCAAAGACCTCCACTAACAGAAGTAATATGTATGCATTATTTATCCATAAATATTTTATTACTTCCCTCTAAAATATAAAGACTATAAAAATACTTAACCATAAAGCAGTATCAATTTTCCAAAAATCAACAATAGCTCCTAAATTATCATCAAATAGCCAGTCAGTTTAAACAGGCCTAACTAGACAGACATACAGGGGTAGTATATTTGTCACTTCTAATTCTGAAACAGTAAGGGTAAAACATGGTTCTCTGGCACCCTCTGGTGTTTAAGAATGATATTGCTATGGTTACTCATTCAGGTACCAAGTGGACAAAATCACAAACCAAAAAATTTTCAGTTAAGAAAGTAGTTGTGAAAAATAGGCAGATATCACTGTTATTACACCTCATCCAGTTAAGTCAAGACAAGATTTAATGCCAAAAGAATACTTACTTCTTACCAATAAGAACCAACATTTCAACAATAACTAAAGTGATATTGATATTAAATATCCAAGGAAGCAAACTTAAACATAAAGACATCACTCTAAGCTAAACCTCAGTAGGGGGCGTACAGGAGGCAGTCATACAACCACATATGACTCAAAGTACTGCAAAAAATTATATAATGGAAAACTGTAGCTTAGTGCAAAAATAGAAGATATCGACGTTTAAACTGAACTCAGAAGGACCAGGCCACGCGAAGACGAGGAGACAGAGTCCAGGGCCTCTCACATCTAGAATATGACGGGACACAACTCATGAAGAACAGAGCGAATGCAAACCAGGAGCCATTACACTCAACACGGTCTCCCTACTTCCCCTTTACCTGACGAGACTCTCTTCTGTCCTGCTTACACCACTGCTTTTTAGTTTTCTGTTATCTACAGCCTCCTTGGATTCTAACATCTATACCTAGAATTCCTAAAATAGTCAATTCTCCCCCAAATTAACCTAATCACATCATCTCACTACCAGATTTTCATAGAACTGTCCTGTTTCTAAAATTCATGTGCAATAGAAAAATAACAAAGAAAAATCAACGTATCTTTGATTTAAAAAGGGATTAAGCGAAAAATCATGCTCTATCAGATATAAAAACAAATACTGAAGTGGTAATTGAAAATGCAAAAATATGAACAGATATAAAACAAAAACCAGAGCTAAAATGAAATTTTATAGATGTAGCATTGAATGCATGAGGATTTACTGTAAGATAAAGATTGCATTTCAAATTAGAAAGGTAAGAATGATGAATTCTTCAGAACCACTTTTGAGACGAACAATTCAATTGGCAAAAATTCATAATTTCCCTCATCCAGAACAAACCCTCTTATAAGCCAGTATTTGAATAGGATTCATAAGCTAAAGCCATTTTTTGTAGAAAGGATGTTTACACTTCAGAACATAAACTACAAAATGGCCAATGACTGAGTCAGTTAGAAAGAATTTGTAGCATGAGACATTTACAAAGATAAGATAAAAAGGTATGTGTGCATATGTGAGGTGTGTACAGATATCTTGAAAAAAATATAGGCTCACATCACCATGAGCTGTGGATAGGGAAGGATTTCTTAGAATAGGTGAAATTCAAAAGCCACATAGAAATCCAATATTATGACAAAACGAAGCCTTCATATAACAAAAGATACGAGACACAGTGACAAGGTAAGCCAAAGAGTAAATATTTACAACATGATCAACAAGTAATTACATACTCACATATGTATATAAACCTGAAAACAGTAAGAACTCAGCAGAGAAATGAGCACAAGTAATAAGCTAGAAATTTCCCAAAGAAAATAGTAATGGTGACACTTTTGCCTCAGGCAGTCAGTGGACTAGATTTACTAAGGAGAAATTACATGACATTAACACTAGACCAACATACGACATTTTCATTCCCGTGTCCTGTGCACAGAAGTTGTCAAAAGGTGTCAGAAAAAATAAGCAGTTGCACGCTATAAAGAGAGTACTGCCTTAGAGAACGCCTGTGGCCAGCACCAGCTCCTGGGCCTCCGCTCAAGGGGAGAAACGGTCTCTAAGTCAGGTTCCCTAGAAGAGGCTCACGTGTCCCAAGTCAATGGTCAGCCCCGATTGCTGAAGAAACGGCCTTTAATCCTCCCTGCAGTACAGCAACCTGGATTTGGGCCTCAGGGTCAATCTAATTTACATAGCCAATAAGGTTCTAAGTTCAGCAATTACATTTTTCCCTTCTCAAGGTCTTATTTGGTTCTTTTTCAAATGTTTGTATTCATTGCTTAATAGGTAATTATTACTTGCTCATTTTTGTGACTCCACATTTTATTTTTAATCATTTTATAATAGTTTTTAATACTGAATATTTGATCATCCAATGTTGAAGATACTGGAGTTCCAAAAGTGTTGCTCTTTCCCTGTAGTTTAAAGCAGGGTTAACACCCTCGTCAGTTTAGCTCAATGGGTAGAGGACTGAAGGGTCCCAGGTTTGACTCCAGCCAAGAGCACATGCCCAGGTTGCAGCTGTTATATCTACAACCTCACTACGAGTATGTAGGAGGTAGCCACTCAATGATTCTCTCATCACTGATGTTTCTATCTCTCTCCCCCTCTCCCTTCCTCTCTGAAATCAATAAAAAATATTTTATTTAAAAAAGAGTAACTTTTCTAAATATGATTTATCTGAGAAAATGAACACATACATGGATAGCAGAATACAGCAGAAAGACATTTTTAAACTGCTGAAAAGAGAGAGAAAAAAGGCAACCCAAATCTTACTCCTGATCACATCATCTATATAAATAACCTAAAATAATCTAACATGGAGAACAACTGGAACTCTCATTATTGCTGGTGGGAATATAAAATGGTAGTCTTTTTGGTAAACAGTTTGATAGTTTCTTAAACACAGATGCACCTGGACTTAAGCCCCAGGAAGTTGAAAATATTTCTGTCGTAAACGCATTTAAAACAGTGAGCCTATTGCCGGCACCGGTTTGGCTCAGTGGTAGAGCGTTGGTCTGCGGACTGAAAGGTCCCGGGTTCGATTCCGGTCAGGGGCATGTACCTTGGTTGCGGGCACATCCCCAGTAGGGGGTGTGCAAGAGGCAGCTGGTCGATGATTCTCTCTCATTGACGTTTCTAACTCTCTATCCCTCTCTCTTCTTCTCTGTGAAAAATCAATAAAAATATATTTTAAAAAAATAATAATAAAAACAGTGAGCCTATTGAACCTACCAGCTAAGCCTCGCGCCTTACACAGGGTCGGAACACTTACGTTACAGCGGGGAAAATCACCTGCCGCTGTGCCCCACACGGGGAGAGGCTGCCCCGCTCCACTCCCTGCCAGAGTTGTAAGGCATTCTGCTAGCCCAGGAAACAGTAGCAATTCAAGATTCGAAGTACTGTTTCTGCTGAATGCATAGTTTTCAAGCCACCATAAAGTCAAAAAATCATTAAGTTTAATTGTAGTAAATCCAGTAAATCTGGAGTTAAATACACACTGATGTAATGACCCAGCCATTATATCCCACAAATTTACTAGAGAGAAATGAGAAACTGTGTTCATACAAAAACCTGTACGTAAATATTTATAGTGGCTTCATATTTAATTGTTAAAAACTGCAAACAACCCAATGTTCATCAACAAGAATTTACATTCATACAACAAATACTTCTCCCCCATGCAAAGAACAATTTTCTAACATTCATAATGACATAGGTTATGAACGTCAAAAAACATACTGACTGAGTGAAAAATTTCAGATGCAAAGAGCAGATAATGTAATTTTTCATTTATGTTTAGTTTAAGAATAGATAAAAATGACCCATGGTGATAGATATAAAGATAGTGGTTATAGGAGGCAAGGGTTAGGATATTGATTTTAAAGGAGCATAAAAGCATCTTGATCTGGATTATGATTAACCCAGTATATGTTTGTCAAAATTCATTAAGATGTACACTAAAAAATCTGTGTACTTATTGGTTTATAAATTATACTCAAAATTATGTTATATTTTTTAAATGCACAAATATATATTTATTAAAAGTACTGTCATCTCTTTTCTTTTTTTAAAAATATTACTTCCTTAAACCAAATCAACTTTTAACTATATATGTTCTTTACCTCAAGGACATCGCTCCATTCTCCTTGGTTTTATCTTTCTGAATAGAAGATACTTGAAGAGACAGGATTTTATTTCCTGGCAGGGTAGTTTGTTTTAGAATGGAAGCTACAAAAAAAAAAAAAAAGAAAAAATTATGCTTTTAAATAGGCAATCATGCCACATAATGAAAAATTCAGAACAGCTTTTAATAGCAAAGAATAATCAAAGAAAATCTCAAACTGCCTAAAACTATGTTTAAATAGAATCATTCACTAAAATCAAGACCTCCAGCCAGATTACCAGCACTATAAAAATAGTATGCAAAAAACAAACAAACAAACAAAAAAATAGTATGCAGCCGAAACTGGTTTGGCTCAGTGGATAGAGCGTCAGTGTACGGACTGAAAGGTCCCAGGTTTGATTCTGGTCAAGGGCATGTACATTGGTTGCGGACACATCCCCGTTATGGGATGTGCCGGAGGCAGCTGGTCGATGTTTCTCTCTCATCAAGATGTTTCTAGTTCTCTATCCCTCTCCCTTCCTCTCTGTAAAAAATCAATAAAATATATTTTAAAAAACAGTAGGCACAAAAAGTAACAGAAACATGTTAATGATATATCATTTCTATGGTAGATATTAAAAAACAATTAAAACCTCTAAATTTTGTGCACAAGACTGACAAAGAAAGAAAGAAGCACATCTTAAAAAGAAAAGGCTACATAAAACTTTTTAAGTCAAAAAAGTACTAATATACCACTGGACTGTTGTACCTGATTACAAATACTGTGAATAGTTGCTTCTTTTATTCTAAAACAACAAACACCCTTAGAAAGTGGCTCTGCGTATACAAAAATGTACCACCATTATCTTCCAGTCTTCTCTCTTAGGTCTCAACATAAAAGACCACGTCTCTCGTCTCTTAAGAGAACATTAAGAGAGAGTACTAAACACCCTCCTGTTTCACACCCAGTGTGGTGGGCCCGAGTCTGGCTGGAATGGCTGACCGGAAGCTACCGCAGTGGTCACTGGCATCTTCTTCTGAAGGGTCAGTGCTGAGGAAGGGAGAGGTGTGCCCGCTTGTGTAAGGCCCCCTGCCGGCTGCTGGACGACCTGAAACAGTGAGAACCATCATTACAGTCAGTAAGGCTTCAGATATAACAAGAGGACAGCCACCTGTGCTCACCCACCCGTCAATATACCTTAATTATTGCAATATACCTTAATCATACTTAAATCTTAATCTGTATGTAGCAGAATTATCCTGTTCAAACTGAAAAATATGACTATCTCACACATTATATTTCTTAGAGTGGACCTCAAATTTACATTACATATTGCCCAATTTAAACCTCCATATATACCATATTTTCACTTTTTAACTTTTATCATGGAAAATTTCAAATATATACAAAGGTAGAAGAAACAATAAGATGAAACCATCTCCACCATTATTACCCAACTTCAATGATGATTAATTCGTTACCAACCTTGTTTCCTGTATATTTCCACCCACTTCACTATCACCCCAATTATTTTAGAGCGCCCCCAGATATAACTTTAATCTATCTACTAGAGGCCCAGTGTACGGATTCATGCACCAGTCCCTCGGCCTGGCCTGCAGGATTGGGTCGAAACCGGCTCTCTGACATCCCCCGAAGGATCCCAGATTGCTAAAGGGTGCAGGCTAGTCTGAGGGACCCCACTGGTGCATGATTGGGGCAGGGGAGAGATGCAGGGGAGGCTGGCCAGCTGGGGAGGGACCACTGGAGGACTCCAGGGCATGTCTGGCCCATCTCACTCAGTCCAGATTGGCTGGATGTTCACAGCAAGCTAAACTACCAGTTGGAGCATCTGCCCTCTGGTGGTCAGTGCACATAAAACGAGCTATTGAGTGGCCTTAGCATATCATTAGCATATTACATTTCGATGCTTTGCTTGGTTGAACACCAACCAGTCGACTGGACATTTAGCATGTTAGGCTTTTATGATATAGGATAAGTATTTCAAAATACTAGTAGATCTCCAAAAGATAAGGACTTTTAATGGACCGTTTTTAAAAAATACCTGGAAAATGACAATGCTATAGACATCCTCCAAAATAAACAGTTCAAGAAATCCAGCCAAAACCGGTTTGGCTCAATGGATAGAGCGTCGGCTTGGGGACTGAAGGACCCAGGTTCAATTCCGGTCAAGGGCATGTACCTTGGTTGCGGGCATATCCCCAGTAGGGGGTGTGCAAGAGGCAGCTGATCGATGACTCTCTCTCATCGATGTTTCTGACTCTCTCTCTCTCTCTCTTCCTCTCTGTACAAAATCAATAAAATATATTTAAAAAAAAAATCCAGAGGGTGAGTGTTGGGGACAAAGAAAGCAAAGTTATTTATTTTGCTTATTTTTAGCTTCAAAGAAGAAAAAAAGTACAATAGCAGAAGTTCCTTTTTTATTTTTCTACCTCAAAGAAGAAAAACAATCAGCATGTATTTGAGCCAGTTACTGACAGTGAACTATTTCTAAGTCTTAAAATTCATTATTGGTTAATATAAATGTGCCAGGAAACAGACTTCTGAACAGAATTTGGGAGTACAATTTATTCTGTATTTTAATTTCTTTTGTAAATAAAATATAAAATCTAGTGAGCATCAATCACTAAATAAAAACTCAAAATAGGAACTAATGCCCCTAGAGAAGAAATACAAAATTAGAATAATTCTAATTGCCATCATTCTGAGAATAGACTCTTGAAAGAAAAAACCTCTTAAAAGCAATGATTTATTTTAGCAAGTTGAGATCATACTTACCCTATACCAGAGGCCCGGGGCATGAAATTCATGCAGGCCCTCAGCCCGGCCTGCACACTCTCACAGTCCGGGACCCCTTGGGGACCCAATGCTGGTTGTAATACCTTGTGCAGAACCAGATTGGGAAGGTAAGTCTCAGTGGCAACCTGCATCTGGTGCTGTGCATGGCCCGGCCTACAGACCAATCAGGGTCAAGTTCATGCCAGTGGCAGGAGGCAAAGGTGTCAGTTCAAATATATGTGCACGCACACACACACACACACAGAATAAATGATGATATAGGATATTTCTATGTATCCCCAAATTTGAGCTGGGAAACACAATCTTGGTCCCCATCATTGCTCATCATAACGACCATGAAACTTGGGGCAGTATTAGCATTCTCCTACACATTTGTAGCAAAAGTAAAATCATGAGTGAAAATAAATAAGAGATATATATATATATGTGTGTGTGTGTGTGTGTGTGTGTGTGTGTGTGTGTATATATATAGATAGAGATCGAGAGCAAGAGCGAGAGTGAGAGGAGAGCGAGAGCGAGAGCAAGAGTGAGAGAGAGCGCGCGCGCGCGCGCGAGCGAGCAGGAGGCAACCAATCAATGTGCCTCTCTCACATCAATGTCTCTCTCTCTCTCATTCTTTCCCACCCCCCACCCACTCTCCCAAAAAATCATAGAAAAAAATATCCTCAGGTGAGGATTAGAAAAAAATAAAAAACAAAGACTTTTCCTTGAGGAATACACAGTATGTGGAGGTGTAATGTCATGATTTCCATCTCTCAAATGGTCCAGAAAAAAAAATGTGTGTGTATGGCCCTAGCCAGCTTGGCTCAATGGATAGAGCATCGACTTGTGGACTGAAGGGTCCCGAGTTCGATTCTGGTCAAGGGCACATGCGTGGGTTTTGGGCTTGATCCCCCATAGGGGGTGTGCAGAAAGCAGCTCTCTCATCACTGATGTTTCTCTCTCTCTCTCTCTCTCTCTCTCCTTCTCCTTTACTCTCTGAAATTAATAAAAGACATATATATATATTTTTTTAATTTTAAGAGTGTGTGTGTGTGTGTGTGTGTGTGTGTGTGTGTGTTTTGTAGTATGCCAGCAGAGCAAGGGAGAACAAAGAAAATTTGGTAAAACATTAACAACTGGTCAAACATGGCCCAGGATACATAGGGGCTCACTGTAATTACTAGTCTTGTCAATTCTCTGAATGGCTGAAAATTTCAAAATAAGGAAGTGAGGCAGGAAAGAAATGTTACTCACTAGCTGCTTGACTTTCACTGCCTGTGGGAGAGCAGCCGATTGGGGAAGGATGGGTCCTGGCGGTGCGAGTGTGATCTGGACTGGCTTCTCAGAGGAGGTCCCCGCAGAAGTGACAACTGTTTTCACAGACACCGACGGAAGACAAAGAGCAGATGAAGGTTCTCCCACAGTTACTGACGGGAGGGCCAACGTCACGCCAGCTCTGCAGACCACAGGCTTTTCAGGTGGAAGCGAGATGGCAGTCACGGTATTCTGTGCAGTCGCCACAAGTGGCTTTGGAGTCGGCAGCACAATGGTTCCAGCTGCTGCTCCTCCTGCTGCAGCAGCTGGACCCACAGAATGAACTGTCACAACTCCAGCTTTGGCTCCCGCTGGGCCAACCAAGGAATTCAGGCTCTGTACCGACACAGTTCTGGGTGTGGCTGCTCCAGAAACGCTGAGGGCCTTTTCGGCCGGGACAGAGGAGTCTGCTGCTGTCACCACAGCAGAGGCCGGTGCGGTGCAGGTAGCGGCGCCGGCCTCCCCAGAGGGCTGCTGAACACACTGCTGGATGAAGCTCTGGGAGCTGGGCAAGAGCTGTCGCAAGGCACTCACACTTTTCTAGACATAGGGAGAGAAAACACCAATCACTGCGGAGACCAATGACAGTAAAATAAAAACACTTTGCACTTCACATCTTTACAACAGAAAATAATCCAAGAAGTACAAACTTTTCATTTGAGGAAATCTGACAGCACTAGTTTCTGTCAGGCAACATCCAACATTCAATTTATTTCAAACGAAAAGTGCTTTATTTTTCAATATGAAATGATTACGTCTAAGTCTTAAACTTTTGAATACTGAACATCAATTTTTATTCTGCCAATCCAGACTCTTATTGTCAAAGTTACTACTCTCCATCAAAATTCTGTTTAATTCAATACATCTTACAGAAGAATATGCCTACTAACAAAATAATTTTTTTAAAATAGCCTTTCCAGCCCAGCTGGCATGGTTCAGTGGTTGAACATTGATCTGTGACCAAAAGGTCATAGTTCAATTCCTGGTCAGGGCACATGCCTGGGTTACAGACTCGAAAAGCAGCCAATCAGTGATTCTTGCTCATCATTGACATTTCTATCTCTCTCTCCCTCTCCCTTCCTCTCTGAAATTAAAAAGCCTTTCCCCTAAATTTGGCATTATGCTGTCAATTTCTAAGGGAATGTGAGTCATTAGGACAGAGCAGAAGGCCCTATTTTTTTAAATGTCAAGAATTTTGCACATACGAGCATTAAATACCATAATCAGGTTATATTCATGACTTAGATGTTACTTCTTTTTTCCCAGTGTGTTCCAAACCAAAGAATATGAACCAGCAACGGGACTTACAACACTGAAAGGCCTCTCCTACACAGCTAGTTACCCTCACCTTCCGTGGATAGCATGCTGAAATATCCGGGTTTATATATTGGGGAAGGATGGGTCCTGGTTAACTATTTTGTACAGTGTTCCCCAGTGATTTGGACTGGCTTCTCAGAGGAGGTCCCCGCAGAAGTAACAACCGTTTTCACATCCTTCCCCAATATATAAACCCGGATATGTCAAAAGTAATCTAGTACCAAAAAGTGTTTCACAGTAATAAACGGGTAACTCTACCTTAAGGAAGGGGACTAGGTGAGGCTGGGGTGAAGACTTGAGTTCAACATACAGTTGTCTGGTAAATTCCTCCGCTTCGATTTTTGCATCCTGAGGACAAGGGAGATAAAGACACTTTTAGGTCTACACATATTTTAAAGCAGAAACAACATGTAATTCATGATTGTAAACATAAGCTCTGAACAGTGATACGTCCATCATTCAACAGAGGCATTTTTTCATGTCCCTTGTGAAATGAGTAAGGTAAACAATGGAGATGTCTGTTCATGCACGGATGATCTCAGTAAGCAAAACCATAGTGGAGCGGCAGTCTGTGCAGAGCCATTGCACCAAAGGCTGTGACGAACCTAAGTGGACACAGAAGTCCTACATTTCTGAGGTAGAGAGTAGGAAGCTACTTGGTTTGGGGGACTGGAGGTTTTTTTGTTTTGTTTTTAATTTGAAATCACCTTCATCAGGATACACTATTTTTAGAATGCGGGGAGGCTGTGATAACAGATATACAATTGTTCCAAAAGACTGAGGAAGCCTTCCATACTGCCTCACATGCAGCGCATTTCAGGGGCTATAGACCTCATAGCGATAGACCTCGATGGCTACAGTGTTGCCCTATCCACAAGGGCCAACGAGGCAACTGGGACACAGAGACTTCCCAGAATGAGGCTTCCAAAGACTGGGAGACCGCACCATCCACTACAGTGCTGGTCTTCAATGCATTCTTCCAATTGCTCTATGATCCAAAAGGGGAACTACAGACAAAAAGAGGGGTATCCCGTTCTATGGAAAGTAACTCCCAGGGTGACCTGATCATAAATTCCTAACTGGGCAGCTCATGGGCAGTCATGCCCAAGCCTGAGCTTTAATGGGGAGTTTAAGCCAGCTCTGTCCATTGCTCTTGTGCATTTATATAACAAACCTTTGCAATGTCAAAGGTAAAAACCCAGAAAGGGGGTATTAACCCTCAAAAAGAGCACATAATCTTGTTAACTATTTTGTACAGTGTTCCCCAAACTTTTGACATATGTGTACCCCTTCTATAATTTTCATAACACCGAGTACCCCTTGTACTCATAAGGAGGTAGAATTAGGCGCAGCTAAGCATGGTGCAGTGCATATCCCCACCAAACTCCGGTGCAACGCGTACCCCCACCAAACTCTTCCCGTACCCCTGGGGGTACGCGTACCACACTTTGGGAAACACTGTGGTGTAGTCCAACGCCTGCCTTCATTTTCCCCACTTCCATGTAATCTTCCTTATGTTCCCGCCTTAATTTCAAATGCATACACAAAGAGGCAAAACTGTTATTCTCCAGAGCATTTGGGATCTTGCTTCTCAGTATACATATGTCATCAGTTTGGTTCAAATAAACTCATAAAAATAAAAATCCAAAATTATATTTGTTATATCCTCAGCATATTTCTTAAACAATATGCAGTATTTGCTAATTTCCACTTTCATCCACTTTTTAACATACCTAAGCATTTTACCTGAAAGAGGACAGAAGAAACCATTTGGTAGCTGAAAGACACGCATCTTGGCACTTACCTAGATCTCAATGATCATCCCATCTACGCTGCTCATCTCAGAAAAAGAGGCCGAGGCCGAAGAAAGTCAATGTATTTCCTTGGGCCCAAACATTTGTTGTCTGGACATACACAACTGAATTTTATCATTTAATAGCCCGGCTTTTGGCATTTACAGTTCTAATAACTTTTTATTTGACACAAGACCCCTTTTGGCGAAGGGAAGAATACTGACACAGAGGAAGGAATGTATACTAACTACATGGATTGGCTTGTCTGAGACTGATAATCATCACAAAGCTTTCAAGCAGCAAAAGCAAAGTTTATTTAAAATCCATTTTAAAATAAACTTCATTTACAAATAGTCATTCCCCATTTAAAAGACTTTCTATGGGTTCTTACAGAGTGTGCCAGGTTTCATCGCACTGACTTACCAAAAGTTGTTCCACCAGCTTCTTGACATTCTGCCCCATTTCTGGGGACTGTGATCCACTACACGCTAGTTTTATTAACATCGCAAGGAAGTTCTTACATTTCTTCACATTCTCTAGCATCGCCTAAATACAGAAACAGAAACAGGCTCTCATAACAGAGTTAACATTTTTTGAAGAGATGTGTTTATGGAAGGAGCAGGGAGAGCTTACCGGAGTAAGACTGGTCTGAGCAGCTGCGGAGCTCCCTGCATTGGGGGTGGGCTCGCTAGAAAGGGTATGTGCTGCTCCCAAACTGGAAGGCTTCAAGGTGGTTACAGTATTCGACGGCTTCACGGGAGTGACTGTGACAACGCTGGATGGCACCGCCACAGTCTGCAATGAAAAGGAGCACATACTGAGATATGTATTACTAGGACAGGTATCGCAGTGGCACCTCATTTCACTTACCAGACTGTACAGGTGGACTTGAAATCTTTGCTTTTATGTTATGTAACAGTTACAAAAGCTCTGGACTCGAGCAGACCTGGGATTCATTCTCACCTACCTACCTTCTTTTCTTTTTTTTAATATATTTCATTGATTTTTTACAGAGAGGAAGGGAGAGGGATAGTTAGAAACATTAATGAGAGAGAGCATCAATGAGCTGCCTCCTGCACACCACCTACTGGGGATGTGCCTGCAACCAAGGTATATGCCTTTGACCAGAATCAAACCTGAGACCCCTCAGTCCACAGGCTGAGCTCTATCCACTGAGTTGAACTGGTCAGGGCTACCTTCTTTTCATTGACATTTACTGAGTGTTGACCTAAGACAAGTTACTTACTCCTGGTAACCCTGATTCCCGTCTATAAAAAACAGGAATAGCAATGGTACTACTACTTTAGGGTTCTTTGTGAAATACAGTACCAAGCACAAAGTGCTCACAAAATATTAATACGTCTCTAAAAAGGATTGGAAATAGTAAGCCTTTATATAGAAATATAGAATTTCCTGTTGTGTAATCCTCTGCTTTTTCATAAGTATAAAGCAGAGAGATTAACTGGCCATCTTATCCTATATAATAAAACCCTAATATGCAAATCGGCCAAATGATGAAATGACCAGCAGGGGCAGATGCTCAACGCAGGCATCTGCCCTCTGAGAGGGAGGTAAGCAGTGGCAGGGATCAGCGGGAGGTACCAGGCTGCTAGCCAAGGCAGGTACCACCTGGGGAGGGCAATCACCCCGCCCATCAGTCACCCCACAGATGGCCCTGATTGCCAGCTAGGCCTAGGGGCCCTACCCTATATATTGGAAACAGTCTCCTAGATTTAAAAGTTAAAACGTGGCAAGGCTACTCTAACACTGAAAAACAGGATGACGTAGCAACGATATGCATGGACTCTGGCTTGCACTTTGGGGGTCAGCTCTGATTTTGACACAACTGTGTGACAAAGCCAATTAACTTCTCTCTGCTTCAGCTTTTCCACCAATAAGATGGGGAAAATGATACTACTGCCTCAGAAGGATTATGTTATGTACCACTTTTTATAATCAGGGCAAAAAAATGTAGCTGCCCATACAACAGCAAGATGCCTTTCACCTGTATGTATAGTATGGTCACTGGTGCATGCAGCGTTCTGGATTGTAAGAGAAATGTCCTACTGCCAGTTTAGGCCCAACATCCCCCGAGTGGTCCCAGATTGTGAGAGGAAGCAGGCTGGGCTGAGGGGACACTCCCCCACCCCCGCCCAAATTCGTATACCTGGCCTCTAGCTGATAAGAGTAACTAAATGATATCATATTTTCACACTGAAAAGAATTGCAGTTGCTTCTTCTACCCTGCACTGAAATGAGCTGTGATATAGCACCACCTGCAGGATAAAACGTTTCACACAAGAAATCAAAGTCGGGTAGTAATTTAGAAAACCATATTGAGATAAAGCAACAAGCTTATTTTAAGGATAGACACTAAAAGTGACAGAATAGGAGTAAAGTTTGAGGGTAGAGAGAGAATAATATTTACAATTCACACATAAAACTGAACACTGCACCATAATTCTAATGTAAATGCTTGTATTCTATAGGCATACAGCACCTGCTTCTGGATACTTGGGGGAGACATGGTAATTTGATGCATTTGTGTTAATTTAAAATATTCAAGTAAAGTTGACATTCCACAAATCTACATCATGTTTATCTTTATTTCCCATACCTCCAACAGTTACCAGTTTGATACGTGTCATCATAGATCACTGAATTGCTCTCTTCAATGTCACATAGTCAGCAACTTACACATCCGCAGACCACAGCTAAATAATTCAGAAACAGGAAAGAATAGCCAGGGCACACATGGCCACACGTCCGTTACACTTACCTGTACCAAGGAAGGCTTTGTAACTGTGGTTACCACGGTAGCTCCCATTTGTGCCAGTTGTTTAACAGGTGCCACGGCCACTTTCTTGATTAACTGTGAGTTAGAATTCTGGGGGTTGGAGAGATAATACAGAGTCATCAGCATTAGTAATTTAAAATCAACCAGTATTGGGGAAAACATGAAAACACTTTACCGTAGCAAATTTCTTCGTTATACCTGGCTTTCTAACCTTATATATATTATGTACATTCTCTACTATGAACCTAACTGGTCAATCGACCAGTTGATATTTCATATACGTAAAGAAGCAAGTGATTTAACAAATAAGTATCAAATTATTTCAGGATAAATTTCCAAACTCGACTGTATGGCGCACATAGAAAACACGGATTCTTATTTGCTATCAGTGATAAAAAAAAAAAAAAAAAAAAAAAAAGTCTGCTAATCTATCTTCTCAACCCACAGCAGTTAGATAATACAGCAAACCAGAAAGGAAGGAGTAGCTGTCAGTGACAGATACAGTAATGAGAAAAGGACTGGTTGAAAACCCAGGATCAATTCAGAGGACTAAAACTGGGGGGTGGGGAGATTTAAACTGGCAGAGAATGGCATTACCACAGAGAACAGTGCAATCTTTCTTTAGGATGAGCCTGACTCATCAAGAAAATGCTATACTATATTCAGCACTTTCTATTTCATCAAAGAAAGATGCCCATAGTGTGTGTGTGTATATATATATTTTAACTCAGGCACACAAAATAAGCGTCAGGTACCTGGAAAGATCATCATGTATGGAAAATAAGTTAGTTCTGTACAACGCCAAGTTGATAAAATACTACATTAGAGTTCTGAATTTCTTAAAGGTAATTTCTATAAGCTATGGATAAAAGTGAATACTAAACTACAGTCTTAATTAATATTTTGCCATAAATTAAAATTAAAGCAGAATGGCTTTCTTTCTACTTAAAGATACAAATAGCCCTTTGAACATTCCCTTAAAAACTACAAAATCTTTGAGTATGAAGACTGAATTTTTATTGTTTTAGCAATCAGCAAATGACAAAATCAAGTATCCTGATAAATTAAAGAAAATGGGGGGGAAAGTGAAGGTATGTTACCGGCATTGCACAGATTTTGACTGTTTGAGGATTCGCTGGTAGAGCCGGCCTTGAAATTATGGTACTTGTAGTCTCGGCTCTTGTTACAGGTTGCTGAGGAGATACCAACATCAACTGACCACTGTTACTTTTGATCAAAACTGTTCCTATATTGAAAAAAAAAAAAAAAAAAATTGACGTAGCTGATAAATGAAGCATTATCATCAGATATTTCTTCTCCTAATTCTTTCAATAATGTAAATGGTCTGAAAAAGTGATTAGTACACACTGAATTCCATAACAACTAATCTATATATATATAAAACCTAAGCAACCAAAATGCTGAACAATCAGAACAACCAGGACAACCAGTTGGTATGACATGCACTGACCACCAGGGGCAGATGCTCAATGCAGGAGCTGCCCCATGATAGACAGTGTGCTCCCACAGCCACCCTCCTGAAGCTGGCCAACATCCCCTGGCCCCTCCCCCTGGGCTGACAGCCCAAAGGCCCTGATTGCTGGTCAAGCCTAGGGAACCCACCAGTGCATGAATTTCATGCACTGAGCCTCTAGTTATCATAAATAATATAAAAATGTTGTTAATCAAACCTAGTTAAAAGTCTAAGTATATGGTTGAAACCTTTCTGGAGGAGGCAAAATACTTTTTTTTTCATGACATGAAACTATAAAGCTACAGTGAGACATCATGAGTAAGAAGGCATGGTAAAACTATACAAACTGACCAATGGAACAAAACAGAGAAGCCCCAAATAGACTCATACATATATGTAATATTGAATTTTCCTAAGAAACCCTGCAGATCAGTGAGGAAGAGAGACCGACTATGCAGTAAACAGGACTAGGTCCATGCATTATCTATATGAAAAAACGAAAAGCTTCACACCATCCACAAAAACCACTCAAGAATCAAAGGTAAAAAAGTTAAACCTTTTAAACTCTATATAGAAAATTATCATTCTTAACTTGGAATAAGAATCTCTTAACTATATAATGTTTGATATATTTGACTATATCAAAAGAGCTTTTGTTTAGCAAAAGACCACCAAGTAAACAGACAAACCACAAGATAAATTTTTAGCTCACATATACTAAAGGGACAAATGTCCAAAATGAACAAAAAGAACAGATGCCAAAGACAGGGAAAGGTAAATTAAAACCCCAGTGAGATCCAAAACCGGTTTGGCTCGGTGGATAGAGCATTGTCCTGCGGACTGAAAGGTCCCCGGTTTGATTCCAGTCAAGGGCATGTGCCTTGGTTGCCGGCGCATCCCCAGTGGAAGGTGTGCAGGAGGCAGCTGATTGATGATTCTCTCTCATCGATGTTTCTAACTCTCTATCCCTCTCCCTTCCTCTCTTTAAAAAAAATCAATAAAATATATTTTTTTTAAAAAAACCCCAGTAAGATATCAATTTATATTTACCAGACAGGTAAAAATTAACAATCTTGTAAAGCATTTGCTCATTTCATGTCTCTGTGTCACATTTTGGTAATTCTTGTGATATTTCAAAATTTTTCATGTTATTATATTTATTATGATGATCTGTGATCAGTAATCTTTAATTTTCTTGTAATTGTTTTGGGGTGCCACAATGCCCATGTAAAATAGCAAACTTAACAAATGCCATGTGTTCTAACTACTCCACTAAATGGCAAGCAATTTCCCCCATCTCTACCCTTTTCCCAAGACACACCAATACTGAAATTAAGTTAGTACTATTAACCCTACAATGGTTCCTCACTGTTCCAGTGAAAGGAAGAATCCCAAAGCTAGAAATGGAGTGGGACAGGCATATCTAAAGCGGAGACAAGCTGAAAATTGAGCTTCCTGCACCAAACAGTTAATAATGCAAAGGAGAAGTCTTGAAGAAAATTAAAAATATTACTACTCCAGTGAACACATGAATCATAAGAAAGCAGAACAGCCGAGACTGGTTTGGCTTGGGGAATGAAGGTTCCCAGGTTCGATTCCGGTCAAGGACATGTACCTTGGTTGTGGGCATATCCCCGGTGGGGGGTGTGCAAGAGGCGGCTGACTGATGACTCTCTCTCATTGATGTTTCTAACTCTCTGTTTCTCTCCCTTCCTCTCTGTACAAAATCAATAAAATATATATTAAAAAAAAAAAAAGAAAGAAAGAAAGCAGAACAGCCTTGTTACCGATATGGATAAAGTTGTAGTGGTCTAAGTATTAGGTCAAACCAGTCACAATATTCTGAGTAAGCTGAAACCTAATCCAGAGTGAGGCCCTAACCCTCTTCAATTCTCCAAAGGCTGAGAAAAGTGAGGAAGCTGCAGAAGAAAAGTCTGAAGCTAGCAGAGGTGGGTTCCTGAGGTTTAAAAAAAGGAGCAATCTCCGTTAATAAACAGAGAAGAGATCTAGCTAAGACAATTAATGGAGGTGGTTCAGGTGACACAGGTTTGCAATGTTGATAAAGGGCCTTACTTTGGAAGAAGGTGCCATCTAGGACTTTCACAGCTAGAGAAGTTAATGCCTGCTTCCAAATCTTCAAAGGACAGGCTGACTCCCTTCTTAGGGGTGAATGCTGCTAGTGACTTGAAGTTGAAGCCAATAATCCTCATTTACCATTCCCAAAATTCCTAGGGCCCTTAAGAATTATGCCAAATCTACTCTGCCAGAACAAAAAGCCTGGTTGACAGCACAAGGGTTTAAATATGGTTTACTGAATACACTGAACTAACTCTTGAAACCTACTTCTCAGAAAAGACTCCTTTCCAAAGAATTACTGGTCATTGACAACATTCCTGGTCACCCAACACTGGTGGAGACGCACAATGAGATTAATGTTTCTGTGCCTGCTCACCCAACATCCCTTGGATCAAGGAGTAATTTCAACTTTCAAGTCTTATTGTCTACACTAATAAAAGAGCAACATACTAATTGACCATACCTTCACGACACTCACCAGCCAATCAGGTGGTTTAATTTGCATACACAGGCACCAAGAGTTAGTAATATTAAACGGGGGTGGGATGGGACACTTGCATTGTCACTACGGTGACGGTGATGGCATTCTGCACCACCCCAGCCACTCTGGCCTCTGGACAGTGTGTGAAGCCAGAATGGCTGCTCTGGGCCAGAGTGAAAAGGCAGCTCCGGGCAGAGTGAAGGCGGTGCTGGCAGCCAGGGGAAGAAAGGCCCATTCTTGCAGGAATCTTCGTGCATCGGGCCTCTAGTTTAATAATAAAAGGGTAATATGCAAATGGACCAAACAGCAGAACGACTGGTCGCTATAATGCACACTGACCACCAGGGGGAAGATGCTCAGCCACAAGCCGGGCTGACTGCTGGCAAGCGCAGCAGTGGTGGCGGGAGTCTCTCCAGCCTCCAAGGCAGCGCCGAGGATGTCAGTCAGACATCCCCCAAGGGCTCCTGACTGCTAACGGGTGCAGGCCGGGCTGAGGGTCCACCCCCTCCCACTGCATGAATGTCACGCACCGGCCTCTAGTTATTTAATAAAGAAATCTAGCTTGTACAGCTATAGCTGCATAGATAGTGATTCCTCTGATGGATCTAGGTAAAGTAAATTGAAAATTTTCTGGAAAGGAGTCCCCACCAATAACACTCTCCCTCAACCCACCACACCAGAGCTGTTTACCCATTCTCTGAGTCTGTCTCAATTTTGATTGTTAGTTCAATTAGATTCCACATGAGTAAAATCATATGATATTTGTCTTTCTCCAACTAGCTTATTTCACTTAGCATAATGTTCTCCAAGTCCAGCCATGCTGTCACAAAGGGTACTATTTTCTTCCTTTTTATGGCGAGTAGTATTCCACTGTGTAAATGTACCATAGTTATTTTATCCACTCATACACTGATGGACACTTTGGCTGCTTCCAATCTCGGCTACTGTAAGTAAGTCTCAATGTGGCCTCCTCTGGAAGTCCTTGGTTACAAGGCTTCTCTCCAGCTGCTCTTCAGATGGTTACTATTCAGGATGAGTTTTCTATGCTTTAACTGTAAGTCAGGTTTGGTCCTGGGAGAAGGGGAGGGTAGCTTCCATCTAATCTGCTGCCATTTTGGATCCCCTATTTACATATTACTTAAACCAGTTCTGATCATAGAGGAAATTCTGAAGTAAAGAGAAATCAATAAAGTATATCATCAAATCTCGCTTCTCAAATGTCGCCCATCTCCAACAATTCAGTTCTCAACCAACTTATTCTCAGAAAAAATGTGTCAGTTGTCAACCAAAACTTCAGAGTTCAACCAGACAACCCTCTCATGCTGATACCTCAGCATGACAAAAAGCCTCTCTCAGGCAACAAAGGAGAAAATGCTTTTGTTGCTGGTGAAATTGGGAATTAGTGAAATTTTAAAACATAAAGAGGCCATTAAGAGTGCTAATGTCCCTGAGGGTGTGAACATGCTCAACAAACACAATCCACAGGCAACTGAATAGGTAGAAAAGTGTTGTTGGCTGGTGTTGGATAAACTGAAAGCAGCCAATGCTCTCGGTAGCAACATTTCAGAGGCAGTGTTAAATGAAATATTTGTTTAAGGCTAGAGGGGGTTAGTTTGATATAAGAAGTGTTAATTTTTTATAGATTAAACAACACATTAGATATGTACATGCATATGAGAAAGGTTAAAACAGGAAATCATTATGGGGATCTAGGATCGATTAATTTAATTTACATAATTTCTAATTAGAAAAAAAATGATTCGGTCTTCAAACAAATCGCCTTCTGGAATGAATTAAGTTCAAGATCCCAGGTTCCACTACCATGTATACTGTCCTTAAAGTATCAATTGCTAATGCTCGGTATGTAAAAGAAATGGTACAAGAATCATAACCTTGCAAAAACAATAGTGTTTCCATTTCATTCTTCAACTCTCGTTACCTTATTCTGCACGGATGAGAACACAATGTGCTCCAGTCGCACATCAGCAAGAACCCCCACCAGCTGCTTTCAGAAGCACGCCCCCTCCTCTGGAGCAGAAGGCCACTACAGGCACCTTATCTCCCCTCTTAAGAGTGTTTCTCCGGGGCCACGGGGTAAAATGTGCTGGTGCCACGTACTTAGGCTGCGGCCCTGGTTTGCTATCTAGTGCTGGCAAGTTTCAGTCTGGTTTCTGCGTATAAAAAGATAAGGCTCTAAAACTCTATAAATCACTTTTATCACTGATAACCAATGAGACATAACTGTACACACACCCCAAGTGGCAAGCACAGTGCTGTGGAAAGAGGACAGCAAAACAGATCTGGATTCAGATGCCCTTTGACACCTATGAGCTTTGCATGGGGCACATTACCCTTCGAGAATGGTGATTTGCTACCTATTATGACCAACAAACAAAAGAATACAAATGCATAAAAAGTGCCCAGCCCTCCATAGGTGATCAGTACACTCTCAGTAAGGGATCAGTTTCCCCTTATCAGCACGTCTTCACTCTTGAAAGTTCTCCCATTTTAACGCTCTCTCTGATTGCTTATAAACAAACTTCACTGACTGCACAGCCATTTAGTTTCGGGAGATTTCATTCGAACACATCCACAACTCCTTCGTAAGCATGCACGCAGGATAATTCAGAACTAGAAGGACATGGACCCAGGGATGCACACAGCTTAACAGGTGTGTGCACCTGTGTCCCATACCAAACTGACACAGAACTTGATCCGAAGCGACCAAACAGCACGTCAGCTACAAGAGAGACCCCATCATTTCGTTTCAATCAAATGCTTGGACTTCCTTACCATCGCGGCCTGCAGAGTTCCAAGTCTGCGGGGCAAAATTAACGGAGGAGTTCGCTCCAAAGAACGTGCAATGAGCTTCCCAACCCCCGCAATTCCAAGAGGAAAGCAGTAAACACTCAAACATCCTTTATCGAATGTGTAGCATGCAAACGACCAGCGCACAACCTCTGCATAAATCATGCGGGGCGCCATAGAGCGGGCCTGGGATCAAGGCCCCCGGCCCCTCCGGGAGCGCACAGGCTGCAGGCTCCGCTTCAGCCCTCGGATGCCTGTCCTCCCGCCCGGGAGAGCGGCTCCGGCTCAGCCACAGCAGCGCCTCCCTCCCGGGCCGGCGGCCCGCCGACGGGCGAAGGCGGCCAACTGCTTCCACTCCCCCTTCCGCCCACCCGGGCCTTCCGAACGCAGCCCGGGGCCTCCGGCCGGATGGACGGCTGGCACGGACGGCGCTGCCCGGCAGGGGCGGGGCGGGGCAGGGGCAGGGGCAGACCGCGGCTTTCCGGCCGCTGCGTGAGAAAAGCTCAGCCGGGAGCCGCGCGGGGAGGACTCCGAGGCCCCGGGCCCGCAGGGGAGGACGGGCCCCTCGGCGGGGCTTTCCGGGGCTTCGCGTCAGCTGCCCTCCAGGAGGCGCCATCCGGGGGCGTCCGTCCCCGCGGGCTGGGCGAGGCGACCCCGCAGGGGGACCACCTACGTGGGGCAGCGCCACCCTCAGGGCACCCACCCACCTGGGGGCAGCGCCACCCTCAGGGCACCCACCCACCTGGGGGCAGCGGGGACCCTCAGGGGCACCCACCCACCTGGGGGCAGTGCCACCCTCAGGGCACCCACCTGGGGGCAGCGCCACCCTCAGGGCACCCACCCACCTGGGGGCAGCGGGGACCCTCAGGGGCACCCACCCACCTGGGGGCAGTGCCACCCTCAGGGCACCCACCTGGGGGCAGCGGGGAACCTCGGGGGGGACCCACCCACCTGGGGGCAGCGCCACCCTCAGGGGCACCCACCCACCTGGCGGCAGCGCCACCCTGTGGGCACCCACCTACCTGGCGGCAGCTGGAGGTGCGCGGGCAGCTGGATGGCGGCGGCGGGCGCCTTCACGGCGACAATCTGCGCGGCGGGCAGCGCGCTGACAGGAGCCCCCGGGGCCGCCAGGGGCCCCGCCGGGGGCCGCGGGGGCTGCGCGGCCGCGGGCTCCACGCGGACCTGGACCGGAGCCTTCGTCACGGCGCCCGGGGCCGCGGACGCGCCCTCCGCGCGGACCGGCCGCGCCCCGGCCGAGGAGCCGCCGCCGGCGGCCGGGGGCGCGGGGCCGGCCGGCTGCGGGAGGCCGGCGGGCATGGCGGGGCTCAGCGGCGCCGCCGGCCCGGGAGCGCGGGCGGGCGCGGGCTGGTCCCGCGGCGGCCGGCTCCGGGCGCCGGCCGGCTCCTCAGCATCTCCGGGCGGAGCGCGGGCCGCCGCGGGGCCGCTGACAGGCGCCGCCGGCCGGGACGCGGGACCCGCGCTGAGGGCTCCGCCGCTCCCGCCGCGGCGCCCGCACGTGCGCCGGCTCCGCCCGGCGCCTCCGCCTGTCCCGCCGCGGAGAGCCCGGCGGCGGCTCCGGAAGGGGCGTCCGCGAGGCGCTCGCCGCTCGCCGCCGGCCGCGCTCCGCCCGCGTTCCCGCCGCAAGTTTCAAACCCTCCGCCGGCGACCCCCGCCGCACGCCGCGCGCCGCCCCCGAGCCGGCGCCCGCCCTGTTTATAGGGCCACGCGGAGGCCCCGCGCACGCGCACCGCCCCCGCCCGCCGCCCTGGGCTTTCCCGGAACCCGGACGCGCGATTGGCCGCCGGCTGGAATCGCGCTCGTGACGTCACTGGGGGCGGTGCCAGGGGCGTTAGGATCTTTCCCAGGATCCAGAGGGGGGGCGGGGCGAGCGGGCGGAGGCCCGGCGTGTGGGCGGGGCCAGTCTGTGGGTGGGCGGGGCCAGTCTGTGGGCGTGGCCAGCGCGCACCTAAAGCTGCGCATCCGCCTTCCCCTCCGCGCGGCGCCCGCGGCGCGGTCCCTGAAGGCCGGGTCGAGGCTCTGCACCCGCAGATGATTTATAAGCAGATTCATGGAGGCTGGTGTTGGAAAACAGGAACTCGGTAGTAAACACTGCCAGGCTTCCTCAGCGTCGGTCTGAGGTCTTGGCTCTAAGGCCACAGCTGAAATTAACATTACAATCCACAAGGCGAATGTTTTCAACGTCCTCGTCTTTTAAATGTTTAAGAACGTTGCCTAGTCTGTAAGACCTGCCTATTTTCATGTAATTTGAGAGTTGAACTGCCCCCTAGGAAGATCCGCTCCCCTCCGCGCTGCTATAGTCTCCATCACCCCAGCTCACTCAGATTACTTCCGCCCCTGTCTCCTTAAAAACGGGGACCGTGTCTGCTGACTTGGATCTTTAAATTCAATCCTAGACATTCTTTGAATAAAAGTGCTCGTTGAATGAATCCATAATTCAGTCCCATGTGGATTTCCACAAAAATGTTTTGATTTCTGGCCATTGTAATAATATGACATTTTTATAGGAACTGACACTGACCTGAGAGGGATTTTGCAAGCAGATTTTGCAAGTTTGCAAGGCGACCTGAAGTTTAAGGCTTTGGTTCTCTCCCTCCACGTAAAACCCAGTGGACAGGTGCTCCCTGCTCACAGGCCTGCAGTCTCCCACATCTCAAGTCCGGACCAAGAACCTATTCCATGAACAGATCCATCGCACCCCTCATCTATGCAGACGTGTATGATCACTGACCTCTCAGAAATCTCCAAGTGGAGTTGTTGGGGGGTGGGAAGGAAAGCTAAATTAACTCTGCGTGTGCTGGTCACTAAGAGATGCATTTTCCTGTTTCTTCCAACTCCCAGCAACCACCTCGCCTTACTGGTGTGAACACTGCCTTTAAAAGAGAGATTTCTCCAAGAAGTTGGATTCAAACTGGTCCGTACGGTGTCAAAGGACACTTTTTCCACTGCTCCACAAATGTCTGACTCATCACGCATCCCACCCGCCTCAGGCACAATGCCTTGCGCATACAAGGTATTTAATAAATAGATGCGCAAAGGATAACTCACAATGTTAATATTAAATATTCCTTCAAAAGAAAAAAAAAGGAAAAAAAAGAAAAGCCCCCCCAAAATAAATAAAATAAATAAATAAATAAATAAATAAATAGATGCTAAGTGACTTTGTTAAAGGAGCCGTACAACATTTTCCGTGAAATGGATTTGAACCCGGCGCTGCTCTTCTGGCTGGGCAACCTTCAGCTCGGGCATTTTTCTCTCCAGAGAGGCTAGAGAGCTCAGTGAGTATTCGTGGGAAGAAGACAAAGTGTGCTCTGAGAACGCTCCAGATCCCAACTCCCATTCGACCACCACCCTCAGTTCACATATTTTTCTTAGGAAAGGTGAATAACCTCAAGCAAGCTACAAAGAGGCTCGGCAGAGAAAGCACACTTCCTTAAGGTGACCTGGCATATTTTTCTTGTAACGTTTTGTCTGCTTTATAGCTTGGTTCACTGATGGGAATTTTAATTTTCCAGTCGCAAAGAACATTTTCCAGTCGCAAAAAACGACTGTCCTGAACTTGGAGTTTAGGAATAATTTCGTTCACTGCATTTCCTTCCTATAGAAGCATACTAATAAAACAGGATATGCAGGAAGGCAACAGGCATGTTATCCTCTATGCAAGAAAAGAAAAAAATGGCAAAGATTACAACTCGGTTTTATTATGTTTATCTGTTAAAATATTGGTAAAATTAAAGATACTGAAAAATACGTACCCATTTACCTTATGTCCTAGACCAGTGGTCGGCAAACCGCGGCTCGAGAGCCACATGCGGCTCTTCGGCCCCTTGAGTGTGGCTCTCCCACAAAATACCACGGCCTGGGCGAGTCTATTTTGAAGACGTGGCGTTAGAAGAAGTTTAAGTTTAAAAAGTTTCAAAAGAAATTTCAATCTTTGTCCTGTTTATCTTTGGCTCTGTTGACTCATGAGTTTGCCGACCACTGGACTAGTCCCTTTGAGCTGCTGTAACAAAATACCATAGCCTGATGGCATAGAAAGAGCAGAAATGAAACTCACAGTTTTGGAGGCCGGAAGTCAGGGTGCGGGCAAGGCCAGGAGAGGGCTTCCCGGGGTGACCTCACAGGGAAGAGGGGGTAGGGTCTTTCTGGGTCCTTTTAAGAGGTGCCTATTCCATTTACCAGAGCTCCTCCCTCCACACCTAGGCGCCTCCCACAGGCCCCGCCCACTAGCACCAGGCCTTTGGGAATTGAGATTTCAGGATTGAATGGTGGGGAGACCCAGACAAAGCACGATGGCAAAACCGGTGTGGCTCAGTGGATAGAGCGCCAGCCTGTGGACTGAAAGTTCCCGGGTTCGATTCCGATCAAGGGCATGTACCTTGGTTGTGGGCGCATCCCCAGTGGGGTTGTGCAGGAGGCAGCTGACCAATGATTCTAACTTTCTATCCCTCTCCCTTCCTCTCTGCAAAAAAATCAATAAAATATATTAAAAAAATAAAAATAAAGGAAGGCATCACTAATTTCTGCTCCTCGATTCAGGGAATGAGAAAGAACTATGAACAAACACAAAAGTTACACACCCAACATTTCACTATTTCACACACACACACACACACACACACACACACACAGGAACACAATTTAACTTGGGTAAAAACAAAGGCTAAGAGTATAATTATTGGGTAGGCAATGCAAATTATTTTTATTATCCTTAGGATTTTTCAAGTGCACATAGTCTCTTCAGAAAGCAAATAAAGGCTCACTGCTCTGTAGGACTTAAAGAGGAAGCTCTGTTTGCCTGTGCAGGAGACTCGCTGAAGAATCCGCTGGGGAAGACATAACTATTTGGCTAAGATGGTCATGGCCGCACCTTCAAGTTCTGTGCCTGAATCTGTCCCCCGTCTGTGTGCTTCTGCAGCTGAGCATCCGAGGTTTTCTGCTGCAGTACACACTCCTACAGCACCGCTCTGCTGTGTCTTTGCTCAAGGAATGCAGCTTAAACTTATAAAAAGTTTTTTTTAATATATTTTATTGATTTCTTACAGAGAGGAAGGGAGAGGGATAGAGAGCTAGAAACATTGATCAGCTGCCTACTGGGGATGTGCCTGCAACCAAGGTACATGCCCTTGACCAGAACCGAACCTGGGACCCTTGAGTCTGCAGGCCAACATTCTATCCACTGCGCAAAACCGGTTTTGGCAAACTTATAAAAAGTTTTGATTCTACTAATGAATTCCATTTTAAAATGTTAACATTTTTATCATATTCTTACCCTTTTTTAAAAAAAATCTTCATCCAACGATATGTTTATTGGTTTTTAGAGAGAGGAAGGGACAGAGAGCAAGAGAAACATTGATCTGTTACCTCAGATACATGCCCCAACCAGGGACCCAGCCTGCAACCTAGGTGTGTGCCTGGCCAGGAACCATACCCATAGCCTTTGGAGCAGAGGATGATGCTCCAACCATCTGAGTCTCTGGCCAGGGCTACTTTATTGTTTCATAACAATACTAATTTCAGGTGCATAAGATAATGATTAATATGTGTATATAATGTGAGACCACCTGATACCTTCATTAAAGCTTTAATGAGACTGAGTCACTTTTTAAATGTTTTAGTATTTAAAAGTAATGCTTCTAAAAAGGTAGATACAACTGATTAATCCTAACATAAGAGATCCATTCACACCAGGGAACACTAGTCAGTCATTAAGATTTAAATTAGAGGTACAGTCATTGATATGGAAAGTGATTCTAGTGTACATAACAGGCCCGATGCGTGAAATCCACGTAAGAGCAGGTCTTCCTTCCCCGGGCCGCCAGCGCCGCCTTCCCTCTGGCACCGGGGACTCAGGCTTCCTTCACAGCCCCGGCTTCGTCCAGAAATATGTCCAGTCTATGTAGCATATTACGCTTTTATTATTATGGGTTATTACATTTAAAAAGGTATAAAATAGTATGTAAAGCGTGATTTCATTTTTTTATAAATAAAAAAACTTTTTGCCGAAACCAGTTTGGCTCAGCAGTAGAGCGTCGGTCTGCGGACTGAAAGGTCCCAGGTTCGATTCCAGTCAAGGGCATGTATGTTGGTTGAGGGCACATCCTTGGTAGGGGGTGTCCAAGAGGCAGCTGGTCGATGTTTCTCTCTCATCGATGTTTCTCTCTCCTCCCTTCTTCTCTGTGGAAAATCAATAAAATATATTTAAAAAAAAACTTTTATCCACAAACAAGTAAACAAGATTTTCATAAGAAAATCTAGATTATACACCAAACTATTAACAGAGGACATTTCTGCTTAGA